GCCCCAGAGCACCTCTGCCAGGCTGACTCCTACCTGCTGCCCTCGCTCAGTTTTCACCTGCCCTTGGTCTCCCTCCCCATTAAAGGTTACTCTTCTGATAGATATAAGGTGGTGTCTAATTACTAGTTTATTTCTCTCACTCGCTGGGAGTCTGAGAGCCCTTTCCCATACCTGTCAAGCCTTTGGGCTTCCCCTCTTTGAATTCACAACATCTGTCTGTTTATTATCTTGTTGTTGTTCAGTCTCTGTCGTGTCCAGCTCTTTGGGATCCCATGGACTACAGAGTGACAGGCTTCCCTGCCCTTCACTATCTCCCGGAGCTTGCTCAAACTCACGTTCACTGCGTCAGGGATGTCATCCAACCATCTCGTCCTCTGTCACCCTTCTCCCCCCGCCCTCAATCTTTCCCAGCATCAGGGTCTTTTTGAATGAATCAGCTCTTCGCATAAGGTGGCCAAAGTATTGGAGCTTGGGCATCATCATCAGTCCTTATAATGACTATTCGGGGTTGATTTCCTTTAGGATGGACTGGTTGGCTCTCCTTGCAGTCCAAGGGACTCTCAAGAGTCTTCTCTGGCACCACAGTTTGCAGGCATCATTTCTTTGGTGCTAAGCCTTCTTTATGGTCCAACTCTCACATCCATACATGACTACTGGAAAAATCATAGCTCTGACTATATGGACCTTTCTTGGCAATGTAATGTCTCTTGCTTTTTAATATGCTGTCTAGGTTTGTCATCTAGTCTGTTTCTTTGCCATTCATGGGAGGTGTTTCTATATTGTGGATATTAATTATTCATTGGTGTTCAGTTCAGTTCAGTCACTCAGTTGTGTCTGACTCTTTGAAACCCCATGGACTGCAGCATGCCAGGCTTTCCTGTCCATCACCAACTCCTGCAGCCTACACAAACTCACGTCCATCGCGTTGGTGATGCCATCCAACCATTTACTTCTGTTTTCCCCTTCTCCTCCTACCTTCAATCTTTCCCAGCATCAGGGTCGTTTCCAATGAATCAGTTCTTCGCATCAGGTGGCCAAAGTATTGGAGTTTCAACTTCAGCAAAAGTCATTCCAGTGAACACCCAGGACTGCTCTCCTTTAGGATGGACTGGCTGGATCTCCTTGCTGTCCAAGGGACTCTCAAGAGTCTTCTCCAACACCACAGTTTGCAGGCATCATTTTTTTGGTGCTCAGCCTCCTTTATAGTCCAACTCTCACATCCATACACAACTACGGGGAAAACCATAGCTTTGACTAGATGGACCTTTGTTGGTAAAGTAATGTCTCTGCTTTTTAATATGCTGTCTAGGTTGGTCATAATTTTTCTTCCAAGGAGCAAGCGTCTTTTAATTTCATGGCTGCAGTCACCATCTGCAGTGATTTTGGAGCCCAAGAAAATAAAGTCTTTCACTGTTTCCATTGCTTGCCCATCTATTTGCCATGAAGTGATGGGACAGACTTCCACGTTGTGGATATTAATTATTCGTCGGTGTTAGACAACAGTAAACATTTTCATCCTTCACTGGCCTGTGATCCTTTGTCAGGCAGATAGCAAATGCATGTGCCCCATGGGACTGCATGGTAGACTGAATAGATGAAACATGCTGAGCACTTAGATCAATACCTGGCACCCATGAAGCATGCAAAGGTGTCATTTATCTTCACTCTTGCTCAAGAATCCACTCAAAGACATACAAAACACCATGTGGGGCTCTTGGGACATCAGGATGCCCCATGAATACTGGGGCCTGTGGGTGCGATTAAGAGTTAAAACCTGGACACAGAAGGACAAGGAGAGCTTACCTGCCATGACAACGTGGATGGACTGGGCACAATGAGGATTCCATAGGCTGATGTCATCATTGAGGTGACATACAGGGTTGCGGCCCTGGATTAGTGTTGGCTCTCTGAGCAAATGTAGGCAGTTAGGTGGAGCAGCTGGCGTTTAGAATTCCCTTCACAGTCGACACTTGCTACAGAAATACACTTGGCTGGACCCCGCCCTCCAGCTCTGTCCCCTCTTCAGTTCTCCCGCCAGAGACGTCTCCTCTGCCCACCTCTACAGCCCCCAACTTCACTCTGTAAAGCTCCATGACGACTTACTATTAATAATGCTTTGGTTCTCATGCCCACCCTGGGGTTAAACCCCCTTTTCTGGCCCACCTAACTCTCACTTTTTCTGCCCATCAGCTCCCTCTGTCTTCCTCAAGGAAATGTGGTCAGTGCCCTGGTGGCCAGGTGGTACTGGTCTGATGAACACCTTGTCTTCATGTTTGTCTTACCGAGTGTCTCTCCTTTCCTCCTGTGTTCTCTCCCAATACCTCAACTCCTGTTTGAACCTTCCCAGATCTATCAGAGGCAAAGTGGCAGCCTTTTGTGCTTTTATCCTTTACAGCCATGGCATAGATACTGAATTCATCCAATATTCACTGCATCGACTCCATCAGAAATTGCTTTTTTGTTCAGCATAAGGTAGGGGTCGAATGTCAAGTTTTTTCCCCAAGTACAGCCAACTGTTTAGTACATGTACTAGAAGATACTGCTCAGCAGGGCCAACACCCTCATAAATCAAGTTTTTCTATTTTGTTCCATTGGTGAACTTGTCTATCCCCATATCTATGTCACAGGCTCCATTACTATAGCTTTAGAATACATTCGACATCTCCTGGAACAGTCTCTTCCTGTCTCCGGCTTCTCCTCTTCCTTCTCCTAAAGTGTTTTGGCTAACATCCAGCCTTTGTCCTTCTATATAGATTCTAGAATCAGCTTGCTAAATTTCTTAAAAAAAAAAAAACCCTGTAGGGATTTTAATGACAATTTCTTTTGTAGGGCAATTTGGGGAACAATTGACATATTTCTGACATTGAGCCTTTCTATCCATGGATATGGTATATAGTTTCCCAACTTATTTAGGTCTTAATGTGTTTTAATAAAATTTTATTATTTTTCCTTAACACTCATAAAAGTTTCATAATAGTTTCATCTCATCTATTCTGTTGTCGCTCTTTCCAATGATGTTTTCCAAAACTGTGTCCCCTGGTTACCGAGGACATTCGATTCACTTTTAGTGCAGGATGATTACAATACTGTGTTGGTACCAAGTTTCCCTCCTTGAGCCTCCCTCCCACCTGCCACTCCATCCCACCCCTCCAGGTGGGCACAGATCCCCAGTTGCAGTTCCTCAACTTGAGTCATACCTCAAATTCCCACTGGCTGTCTATTTGCATATGTTAGTGTATATTTTTCCAAGCTACTCTCTCCATTCCTCCCACTTTCTCCTTCCCACCCACTGTTGAGGATATTTAGACACGTGTAGAATAGTCTCTATCTGGCCTCCCAGATCCTCTCCACCTTTCTCTTTTGTGTCTTTATCTACAGAATGGCTCTCTTGGTCTGCTTGATGGCAGACACTGTACAGATCAGATGGGAGGACAGAGGCCAGGCGTTCGGTGTCCCCAGGCCCCTCCCACAAGCCTGTGGTTGGCAGTGACCTCGCAGGCTGCTGAGGAAGCCTCTTTCCCTGACCTCTGCTCCCTCCCTCTCTGTCCTTTCCAGGCCAGTAGTGGCAGCTCCCTGAGACTAAACGTCCCTCATGCTTTGCTTTCCCACTTAACTCTGCCCTTTCTTGGCAAACAGAACACTTGCTGAAATCTCTCCAGTGATCTTCCTGAGGACACCGAGGGTTTCTTGCTGGGACCCTGACTGATACTGTAACTGCCACCGGAAGCGACCCCAGAAAACAGGCTCTAAACAGAATGCTGGCCTTCAGGTGCACGTCTATTTGATGAGTGTGTGGATAAAATCCTTGCCCAGGGAAATTGAGTACCAGGAGCCTGTGTCTATCAGGGACATCCCAATTCCTACAATTATCAGCAGAGGTGGCATGTGACGCCATGCGAGTGGGCATCTAGTCGCTTGGGCAAATACGGGATTGCAAAGACGGTGCAGTGGGCTGGCTACTTCTGAAGGCTCTGGGAGGTACACACCATGGAAAGGACGGTTCAAGCCTCGGGTGTGAAGGTGCCCTCCAGGCAGGCCACCAGGAACACACATGCAACTCGACAAGCTGGGATTCTTACCGGTTTGTAGACCAGTAAGACCACACACCCTGGGGACGCAGAGGGGCACCCCTTATACGACTGGAGTTTATAGGACTGGGGCATCACCTACAAGGTGATTCCGGGTAAGCTTTAAGGACGCAGGGTCTCGCTGTGGATTGGGTGCCATCTGGAAGCTTCTTAATACTTCCCATCTGGAAGGAGAAGAGACTAGCGGGCGGCCGAGGCTGTGACGCGAGGGGGCAGCGGCGTTCCAGCTCGGGTGGGAGAGGGTGGCCACTGGCGGGGGGTCCACGCGACTGACTGGACTGGCTAGCGGCTTATAGGATTGGGGTTATACAGTCTCGTGCTGCTGCCTGGATACCGCCTGTGTCGACAGCAGAACACCAGGCCCGGGGAAGCCGCCTCAGACGGAAAAGCGCAAAGCTGCGTGGAGACTCCAGAGACGGCCCGTCCAGCAGCGTCGTGCAGACAGTGCCGAGGAGCCGGTGGGCAGTAGGGGCATCGCGCGGCCTCATCGCCCGAACACTCGGAAGGCCGCGGCCGAACCGGGTCACGCTAGCCACTCGCGAGGCGCAGCCGGGGCACGAATCAGCTGCAGCCGCGGCGGCTCCTGTCAAAACCCGCACCCGCCGGTCGCGTCCCACTGCCAGCCCCACCCCGCCGCGCAAGCGCACACTGCCGGCTCGGGAGCCATTTCACGGGGCCGCAGCGCGGGGCGGGGGGGGGGGGGGGGCGGGGTGTGCAACTGCGCAGGCGCCCGACGGGAGCGCGCGTGCCTGCGCGAGAAGCCGGAAGCGGCGGGGCGCACTGCGCCTGCGTCAGGGGCGGGCGGGGGCGGGGCCGCCGTCAGCTGACTGAGGCGGCTGCGGCCTCGGGGGACCGCCGTCGGGTCGCGTCTCTGTCAGCTGTTGGTGGGCTAGACGCGGGGCCGGCCGGACCATGGCGACCACCGTCAGCACGCAGCGCGGGCCGGTAGGCTCCGGCGGGGGCGGGCTTCGCGCCTTCGGGCACAGGGAGGGCCCGACACTGGCCTCCGTGCGAGCGGAAGGGAGTCCCCGGGAGGGAGAGGCCGCGCACCGTGTGGGTCCCCGGGAGGAGGAGGCCTCACGCTCACTGGGTCCCCTAGGCGGGGGAGGGTCGGCGCCCGTTCGTTCCCCGGGAAGAGACGGCCCCGCACCCACCAGCGGGCCCCCGGGATGGGTGGGCACCCGCTGGGTCCCCGGGATGGGGGAGGCTCGGCACCGGTTGGTTCCTCAGGAAGAGGAGGGTCGGCGCTGTTACGTCCCCGGGAGGAGAGACGGCGCCCGATGCGTCCCTGGGGCGGGGGAGGGTCGGCGCCCGCTGGTTCCCCGGGGCGGGGGAGGGTCGGCGCCCGCTGGTTACCCGGGGCGGGGGAGGGTCGGCGCCCGCTGGTTACCCGGGAAGAGGAGGGTCGGCGCCGTTGCGTCCCCGGGGTGGGGGACGGTCGGCACCCGGCGGTTCCCCAGGATGGGGGAGGGTCGGTGCCCGTTGGTTCCCCGGGAGGAGGAGGCCCCGCCCCCACCGGCGAGCCCCCCGAGTTGGGGAGGATCGGCACCCGCTGAATACCCGGAAGGAGGCGGCACCATGTGCCTAGAGTATCCTTCTATAGAGGGGCACCCGGACAGCGCTTGGATGAAGGAGGGTTCAGGCGCGGCTGTGTCCCTCGGTTTTTTTTGGTAACACATGAGGGGTCCTGAGCTGGGAGTCCCCTTCCGCCCCAGGCCCTGGAGCCCTGTCTCCCGCGGCTACTGTGTCCTTGTCCAAGAGCAAGACTCCGGCTCCTGGGGATTCGTCTCCAGCCCCCGTTCGGACTGGGTTGAGGTGCCTGACCATGAGCCGTGAGGTTTGTTTGTTTTAATCACAGTCAGGGCCTTGAGTTGGGACAAGGTTCTGGTTGATGCTTTGATGTGAATTCAGGGAAGTCCCTGCAGCCCCGGGCTCCTCACCCTCCCTGTCAGAGTGGACAGATCCTGTCTGTGTCTCTCCCAACCAAAGAAGAATCCATCCACACGACGTCTTTCTGTGTTTGAGGAAGGCTGGTTTTGTTGGAAGCCCGTTGGGCACAGGTGCTCTTTCTGAGCGTTTGAATGGGACGTAACAGGACTTCGTGACAGATGTGGGTGTGGAAAGGTCCCAGAGTCTGTAGGGTGGTTTCTGGCCCCTGACTTCATGTCTCCATCTTCACTGCACACAGTGACTTGGAGCAGGCTGAGCATCAGCACTTCCTCCATTCTACATGAGTGGCTCATCAGAGAAGCTCAGGGACCAGATCATTCGCTCCCCTGGGGCGGAGGCGGGTGTCCGTTCTGTCCCGGGTCAGACCTGTTGGGAGCTCGGCGCCTTCATCAGGCAGGATCCACAGGCAGACATGCACAGGCCTGCTCGGACCCAGGTGAGGGGAGTGTGTGGTGAAGGCGGGCCCTCCTCTCGTCCAGAGGGACATTGGCCCTGCGCTGAGGTAGGGCTGTGACAGGCCCAGGCGGCAGACGGTGTCCGGATGTGAGGCCTGTGCCGTTGAGGCCCCAGTGACCCAGACGACTGGCACGTTCTCTTGTCCGGGGCGCGTGGGCCCCGCACACGGACTGGCAGGTGTCTGTGGGGTGCTCCTCAGGAGCCGAGCTCACGCCGCGAGGGTCAGCCTGGGCCAGAGTGGCTGGGGGCTCAGGGCCCTTGGGCTCGCTGGCCTTGGCGTCTTGTGCAGCGTGGCTCACTGACGCTGCTGTGAGGTTCACAGAGGAGCCAGGCCTGGGCCTGGAGGTCTGAATTGGAATCGGGGTGAGCAGTAACCTCCCTGGGCCGGGGCATGGGGTGAATAAGGGTTGTGGAGGAAGCACGTCTGACCGAGACTTGAGGGAGGGGGAGCGTTCGAAGCAGAGCTGGAGAGGATGGGGAGAGGAGGCCAGGGGGTCCTGAGTGGGGGTGCCTGTGCCAGAGGGCGGGGGGGGCACTAGAGTGTGCTTTCTGTTTTTTGTAGAGCTTTTGCCTGGTACATATCCTCTCGTTGCACGTCTCCCCACCAGCCCACCCCCTGTGGGTGGACTGCACTTATAGAGGCTTTCCCTCCAGTTATCGGCGTCAAGGAGCCCTTCCTTTTGCGGTTACCAGAGTCTGGCGGAGACCTCTTCCCTTGCCAGGACGCATGGACTTGGTGTTGCCTGCGCCCCCACGTGCTGTCCTGTATGTGCTTGGTGCAGTGGAGAACCGCGGACGGCGGGCTTGTAGCAGAACCGCTAGACCAGCCGGGGCTTCCCGTGCCGGCCTTGGCTGGGTGGCATGCCTGAGGGTCAGCCCTCTGCCAGGATTCCCAGTCCGGCCCACACAGGACAGGCAGTGTTCAGCCTCAGCCCGGGGTCACTGACCAAGGGACCCGGGCCAACTCTGAAGTCTGACTGTCTCCTCCCACGCCTGGTGAAGGACGAGATGGGCAGGGTCCCCAGGCACTTGAAGGCAAAAGTGGGCCCGCCCACTTGGGGAGATCCCCTCTGTCCCTGAGCAGGGAGCCCGAGGGGCGCGGGGTCGACGTGACTCCCAGAAGATGGGGTTTTTGCGTCTTCATGATCGTTTCCCCTCAATGGCCGCCAAGGGTGCCTGCCCTGTGCTGTCTGCCCTCTTTCAGCGGTGCTGGCCTCTCCCTCTGACTCCCTTCTCCACCCTGTGCTCCGTCTGGTCCACAGAGGATTAGAAAGCGCTGGAGGGCACCCGCGGCAGTAACTATGTGGGGGTCAGAGCAGGTTTGTGGCACGCGTCGCTGCGGACCCCTGTGCTGCCGGCCAGCTCGGCGGGCAGCGGTCAGGCTTGGTCGGAGGCCGAGCTGTGCTGTGTGCCCACGGACTCCAGGCCGACGGGAGCAATGAGGGCCGCTCATCCAGCTTTTGGAGATGCTGGCTGGTCAGCACAGCCCCTTTCCCTCGTGAGGCCTGAGGGCGAGCTGTGGGGTGACGCCACGTGGCCTGTGATGGCCAGGTCCTCGTCAGCCTTGGATGAACTGACCGCTGTTGCTGAACCTGTGACCCACCAGGGGTGGCAGAGAGTTGTGTTTGAGTTTTATTGCTTGGTTTTGGAGGACCTGGTAGTGTAGGTGAGTGCTGTCTGCTTGTCCTTAAGTGCAGTCTGTATGGAAGGCAAGATGCAGGCTCAGTTCTTGCTCTGTCATTTGCAGTATTCAATGGGAGGAGTGGTTTTTCTCTTTGGGCTGGTGCCTGGCTTTCTCTCTCCATTGGAGACTGGCTCGACCTCCCTTCTCGCTCAGATGGCCCGCTCTCGCTGGGTGAGTCCGTCCCTCTGGCCCAAGTCCTGGGCAAGGGGTGGCTTCTCCGCCCAGCTGGCCCATGGCCTGATTCCCCAGGCCCCGTGAGCTCTGCTCTGGATTTTCTGCGGCTGAGTTAGGAGCGCTTCCGGGCTGAGAAGGGCCCTGTCTTCCTGTGAGTCAGACCTTGTTGCGTGTGGTGACCCTGCTGGCCGTGTACAGGCCTTTCATGTTTGGTTTGTTGCAATGAGGGGACGCCAGCTTTCTTTCAGGGAGTGTCTGCCTGATGGGTTTTCATTCTTGGAGTCACTCTTTCTGAATCTGTGTGTCAGGTGGGTCTGCCATCAACAGCACGCACTCGACTGTCAAGTTTTCACCCTTCGACGGGAACGTGTTGGTTTTTTGTGCACAGTTACGCACACGCTCTTTGTTCCCAGCACTTCTTTTTGTGCTTTTATTTGCCTGCTTTTCTTCTCTTTCTCTCCTTGCCTTCTGTTGGAGTCATCAAACCCAGGTAAGTTCCATTTTCGCTCTCTGCTGGTTTGGAAAACATGTCCCTCCCTCCTCTTTGCAGCCTTCTTGGGAGCGTCACCGTGTGGCCCTGGGGGCTCTCAGCTCCGTCACTGTAACAGCCCTCCTCCTGGGCAGCAAGTGGCCTCGGTGGCCTCTGCTTTCCTCCTAGGAGCCGTGTTATTTTGATGAGCTGGTACTTGTTCCGATGGACTTGTTCGTTCTGCTTTCTCTGGTTCCTGAAAGGGCTGTGTGGTGTCTGGGACTCTTGAGCTCACGGTCCCCTTCTCTCAGGGTGTGAAGGTGCCCGTGTTGGCGGCATCGGCATCAGACCCCCTCTGCTCTGGCGCCTCTGCCTGCGTCTGCGCGTCCTTCCCCCCGCCCCCGGCCCGTGGGAGGTGTGGCCCACAGCTCAGCTCGAGGCTGCTGGCCCTGCACGCCCACCCCCCAGTCCACCTGCCCCCCACCCCCACCGATGGTGCTGCCGGGGCCGCAGAGGAGCCCGGGCGGGGTGGCGGTGGGGCCCAACAGAGGCCACTGCCTCTCAACAGTGGGCAGGCCCCGGGGCCCAGGATGCACCTGCACTTTGTGGGGCGCAGGAGTGAGCAGGCGGGGAGGGGGGGGACTCGGGTGGGTGCCCAGTGGTGACTTCTCTGGGGTTTGTTTGGGGCCTCTGAAAACGGCTGCAGCTGTGGACACAGGGATGACGTCCCTCCCTGCTGGGGGCTCCGTCTTCACGGGAATTTCCTTCCTTCCCTGGGACCCTCCCTGGCGTTCCTGTCGTCTTGGGCGGCAGCCCCAGTCCCCTTGGGGCTCCCACCAGAACCTCCCGCACAACCACAGGCTCTCCCGCGGCTCTGCCTTCTGAGCAGACCCAGAGTCAGTTCCTTCTCAGCCTGGGCACCTCCACACCCGCCTCCCCTGCCCAGTGGGTCTCTGCTGTCACCCCTGGGCCAGGCCCCAGGCAGAGCCTGCTGTGCGTGCAGCCCCCCCTTCCCCCCGCCCCGTCTCCGAGTCAGAGCCTTGCACCCGTCCGTCCTCTACGCTCCTGCCCTCCCTGGCTTGCCCGGCTCTGGCCACCTCCCCACCGGCCCTAGAGCTGCCCCCCAGGCTCCCAGCCAGGCCTGTGCCCCGGTCCTCCCCAGGTCCTGCGTGCCGCCCCTTCCTGCCTTCAGGTCTCTGCGGAGGTGGCGTCTTCTCCCAAGGCCACCTCAGCTGGCCATGCCATCTGCCCTCGGGCAGCAGTGGGACCTTGTGCGGTTGCCTCTCTTCTGTTGTGATACGAACCCTGCGGGAGCTGTGATTGCCCAGCATCTGGCCGTAACGACGCACACGTGTGGTGGAGCTAAGACCTGTCAGTGCCGTGCCGGTCCGCCCAGCCCTGGGCCCCACAGCCTGCAGCGGCCGGTTTGCTGGGGTGTGGACGGGGTGCCCCGTGTCAGTCGCGCCAGGTCCAGAGCAGCGTGAGCAGCGCTGGAGCTCCTGGCCGAGCCCCCAGGAGCCGCTCGCTGTCCCCTCAGCGACGCGGTCTGGTTCTCGTTTGGCTGCTGGTGTCTCTCGCTGGCCCTCTGGCGGCCTTGTGCTCAGTTAATGCCGCCTCTCAGTCCCCTGTCTGGGGCTCGAGGACTGTCCGCAGGCCTGGGACAGCCAGATGCTTGGGCTTCAATGGCCTGTGCGAGTCTGGGCCATTTAGAAAGCTGGGGCGGCCTGCAGGATGGGGACAGGAGGAGAGCTGGCGTCCGGGAAGGACGGAGCTGTGCGCAGTGACACCTGGCAGAGGACAGGGCTGGGGGCTCCATGGAGCCCTTGGGGAGCCGCCCCCGCCTCGGCCGGGTTCGGAGGCGCCGGTGGTACCTGCCTTCCCTCTGGTGGCTTCCAGGTTTTTCCTTCGCTTTTCTTGAGGGAGGAGGAGGGTGGGTTGGGCAGGGAGGGTTACTGGTGCGGAGACCCATCCCATGGCTGCAGTGAGCCAGGTGGTGACGGTGGGAGTCTCAGGCCTCAGCTGGCACGTCCTGTGACCTCCTGGGGGTGGGGTGCATTGGGCTGAATGTGTGGCTCACTCCTCCCCACGGGCCTCTGAGGCTGCTGTCTGGCCAGTGGGGCCAGACCACCCCTGGGCAGGGACCCCCCAGGGCCTGCCCTGGCCCGCCGCTGGCTCAGGCCTCAGCCTCCCGCGGTGGCTGGCAGGTGAGCTGAGGGCAGGCGTCCCCAGGCGCCTGCAGGCGGGCAGCTGCCTGGACCAGGAGTCTCTGGGTTCGGTGCTGCTCCACCAGCCCTCAGCTGTGACAACCCCCCCACCTCCCACCCAGGCCTGAGGACGGTGAAGGGGGCGCATAGCCCCTGGAGTTGGCTTACGGCAGGCACACGGACTGTGGAGGAGGGGAGCGGCCGTTCCTGACGGTCGCTCTGGCCCTGCACAGCCTGTTCCCCCGGGGTCCTCAGGGCTGGGTGGGCGGCCGCTCCGAAGGGCAGCAGGCGGGGGTGGGCTGTGCTCGACCCCGGGGCGTAATCACAGGGAGTCAGGGCTGAAGACGAGCACCGGGCAGGCCTGGGCAGGACTGTGGGCAGCCGGCAGCGAGCGGGCCGAGGGCTCTGGGCGGGTGCGTTGTGGGCACACGGGGTCTGGTCTTGGCTCCGTGGAAATGGGAACTGGAGTATCCCAAGCACCTCAGCCCCTCCCAAGGGGTGCAGCCCGCAGGGTGTCATGAGCAGCCTGCCTCCTGAGGCCCATGCTGGGGCCTGCTCAGCTGCGCCACCGCCCAGGAGACGCGCCCCACGGCGCCTTGGGGAGCGAAGGAAGGTGCTGAGCCTCTCCTGGCAACGCAGGCTCCGGGGTGCCTGGGCCCACCCGCCCTGCACTGAGCCTCGCGGCAGTGGAGTTGGGGGACGCGGAGCGGAGCCCAGTGTCCACAGGGAGCAGGCCGTGGGGGGACAGTGGGGAGAGTGCCCATCAGAAAGGCCCTGTGCTCCTCCAGGTCCCGCCTGTCCTGCCACTGGCGTCAGACTCCCGGGGGGGCTCCCTCCTCACTGTACTGGTGCTGGCTCTGGGGTGAGGACCAGCCTGCTATGAGAGAAGCGGCGGGGCACCAGGCTGACGGGGGCAGGGCTGGGGCCCCAGAGCCGGCAGGCACCCTTGGGTGGCTGTGAGCTGCGGCAGGCGCTCTCCCAGGGGCACCATGAACTGGGGAGGCGGGTGCTGTCTGCTCGGCACCGCAGGAGTCTTAGCGTCTGGCAGCGTCTGGTGGTCCCTGGCGGCCACTGTCCATTAACGCGGTTGCCAGAGCTCACCATGACACACGGGGTCTTCTCTCCCGTGTTCCCTGAAGCCGCCGCGTCCTTCGGGGCCCTGCATGGGGGTCTGTGAGTGTTCTGGGCGCTGAGGGGCTGTGGCCCTGGTTCCCCCCAGCAGCCAGGCCTCCGTCGTGGGTCCTGGGCTCTGGCTGCACTGTGCCCCCCGGCCCTGCACCCCCCCCACCCCCGCCTGGCAGAGAGCAGAGGTGGGTGGTCCAGGTCCCTGAGCACCCAGGGGGTGGGCTGCCTGCCCTGGGGGGCGTCTCTCCATGCTCACCACCCCGGCAGAGCCCAGCTGACCCGAGCTTGGTCTCCTGTGGTCTCCTTGGAGTCGTCACCGTCAGGCCGCGTGCTCTCCACATGCGGGCGTGTGCCCGGGAGCCACCGCCTTCCCGTCACGTCCCCTCTTCAGTGCCAGGTCCTGGGGCTTCTGCTGGTCAGTCTTCTGGCTTCGTGGTCTCCGGGGTGCTTCTGAGTGTGAGCTGTACTCCTGAGGCGTCTGCACAGAGGCTGTTCTGAGTCTCCTGACATCCCAGCCTCAGGCTTCACCCGTGAACAGCTCTTGGTGGAGAGGCCATGCTTGCCGTGGTCCTGGTCTGCGGCTAGGACCGCCGACAAGTGGACAAGCGTGTCTGAGGCCTGAGAGCGGCTTGCAGCCCCGGCAAGGGTGCGAGACTTGCCTTCAGGCAGGGACGTGCTTGGGCCTCCACGGAGCGCCGTGTGCTGGGCATCCTCCTCCCGGGAGCACAGGCCCTTGGGGGCCTGCAGGCTGGAGCGCCGGCCCTGCGTGGTGCAGGCAGGGAGGCGGGCCCGGGTGGGCGGCCCTGCGCTGACGCCACACTCCCGTAGGTGTACATCGGAGAGCTGCCCCAGGACTTCCTGCGCATCACGCCCACACAGCAGCAGCAGCAGATCCAGCTGGACGCACAGGCCGCGCAGCAGCTGCAGTATGGAGGGGCACTGGGCACCGTAGGCCGCCTCAGCGTCACCGTGGTGCAGGTGGGTGTGGCCCTCAGAGACCACGGGGCCAAGTGCGGACGCTGAGGGTGGGGGGCAGCGGCAGGCGGCCCGGGGGCTACTGTGGAGAGCGTAGCCCCCTGGGGTGGGGGCGAGGGTGGGGTTTGGGGGGCAGCGAGCAGCGTGGAGCAGGTGAGTGGGAAGCAGACGGCCCGTCCTGAGCTGGGTCCAGGGCTCCCTCGGGCTCTGTGTCAGGAAGATCATGGGCAAGGCTGGAAGACCCCGCATTTGGCCTCCTGGGGGGAGCCAGTCCAGTTCAGGAGCCCTCGAGTGGGGGCAGGAGGAGGGTGTGTGACCCCACGGCCTGTTGCCGGCACCGGGGCTGGTGGGCAGTGACCAGAATGGGGAGATCACGGGAGGAGCAGGCAGGGAGGAGAGCCACACTTTAGCGTTGGACACATTCAGTCGAGGGTGCTTGAAAGGCAGGTGCCTGAGGCTCAGAGACAAGGACTTTGAGGGGAGGTGCGGCGGTGACATGAAGCACGTGTCGTGAGGCGGGCCAGCCAGTCCTGTGTGGAGGGGTGGCTCTGGGGCACGATGCGGGCACACTCCAGAGCTTGGGGGGTGTTGGCACAGGAGGGGTGCAAGGAGGCTCCCAATGGGCGGGGCTTCTGCAGAGCCTTCGGAGGGAAGAGACAGTGTCTCACAGGCAGCAGGCTCTAGGGGCTTTTTAAAAAAATTAAGTCTGTTGAGTATGATTTACATGTCAGGACGCACTGGATTGAATTAATGTGCTTTTGTTTTTGTGACCTCTGACACGTGTTCACCCCTGTGATAAGAGCGTTTCTCCAGCACCATGGAAAGTTCTCTTCCCTCTGCCTGTTGTGGGCCTGCCCTCGGGCCCCAGGGCGCTTCCTGAAGTCTGTCCGTTGCTCAGCAGGAACTGGGATGCCAGCCCTGGCCACCGTGATGCGTGGGCTCCAGGGAATCAAGCCCCTCGGAGCGGATTCCCGGCTCCCCCCCGCCCAGGCATTGGGCAGGGTCGGTCACTGCTGAGAGATTGCTGCCTGGTCAGGGGCCAGCATGGTCACTGTCTGAGGACGCAGGGAAGGCCTTGGCCAGGCCTCGCTTCTCGGGGCCCCTGTCCCCCTACTTCTCCAGGGCTCTGCCTGTCACAGGACGGCCTGCCCTTTCCACCCTCCTCCCCAGGAGCAGTGGTGGGGACCCAGCCCCTCCCAGCAGCAGGTGTGTCCTGAATTGGGTGTGTCCTGAGACACTGGGCCCAGCCCAGACTGCCTCCTCATTCCTGGGCCCTGGAGCATGGTTGTCCTCGGAACAGGCTCTGGGACCCCACGGGCAGCACAGTCTGAGGACACGCAAGGCCGTTATCTGAAACCGGGCAGGTTTGCACTTGACCTGCATAGATTCCACGTACTCAGAGCCATACCTGGGTTCCTCGTGACGCGTAACACGCCTCTCACACCACGTGAGCACAGCTGTCACACGGTACAAGGCTGCAAACACTTCCTGGTGTGGCAGAGTCAGGGTTTGCTTTTGGAAGTTTCTGGAATGTTCTTTCTTGGTCCAGTGCCTTCTCTCTCACTCTGGACCTGCGGTTGCAGACAGCACAGTGGTGGCCGTGTCCCGTGGGTCAGCACGCAGAGTGCACGGAAGCCGTGGGTGGTGGGGAGGCCCCTGGGCTGACGGCCGCGGCCCCATCTCACCCGGCGGCTTTGTTTCAGGCCAAGCTGGCGAAGAACTATGGCATGACCCGCATGGACCCCTACTGCCGCCTGCGCCTGGGCTACGCCGTGTACGAGACGCCCACGGCCCATAATGGCGCCAAGAACCCACGCTGGAACAAGGTCATCCAGTGCACTGTGCCCCCGGGCGTGGACTCCTTCTACCTGGAGATCTTCGATGAGGTGAGCGCCGCGCGGGCCACTGCGCTTCAGGCTCCTGGCCGCTCCGGAACATCGGGCGTGTGCACGCCGGGCGCTGTGTGACAGGCGCTCTGCCTCAAGAGTCTCTGGAACCTACACTCAGACACGTCACCACTGTGTCCAGAGCGTGGGCGTCGCCTGACCACACAGGCCAGGCACTGCTGTCCGCATGTGGCTAGGGGGTCACACAGTCAGGCCCCTGGCAGGGTGGGTATTGGCCTCTTTGTGGGTGAACAGCAGGAGCCTCCTGAGTGTCCCTGGGGTGTCAGGCGCCCTGGGGCCTTCCTCAGCCTGGCCCTCCACGTGCCCCAGCCCTCCTGAGCCCGACTTGGGGTGGAGTGGGCGGCGGGGCTGGGAGAGGCTGCGGTCCTTGGGGCTTGGCCCCCCTCCTGTGTCCTTCCTCCTGACCGCCAGCCTCACCTCTGGGGCCTGGGGTGGAGGGGGAGGGGAAGGCGTGGTTCAGGGGGCATGTGTGTCTGTGGGGCCTGGCCCCGCGGGTTGGTGCAGGCGATGGTAGTGGCCCGCTGGAGCCCCTCTTCCCTGCCTGTGGACCCGCAGGAGTGGAGTGAGGAGGGTGCTCCGTGCTGTGCACCCCCTGGGGGGGAGCCCTGGGACCTCTGGGGTCACACGCCTTCTCCCTTCTGCCGCAGCGAGCCTTCTCCATGGATGACCGCATCGCCTGGACACACGTGACGATCCCCGAGGCTCTGAAGCAGGGCAAGGTGGTGGACGAGTGGTACAGCCTGAGCGGGCGGCAGGGCGACGACAAGGAGGGCATGATCAACCTGGTGCTGTCCTACACGGTGAGGCTGCCGCCCAGCCCCGGGGCTCCTGGACCGGTTTACTGCGGGTTCCCACGTCAGCGCTTGTGCTCCTGGGTACACCCAGCCCTTTGAGCAGACGCTTCCATGCGGACAGAGCGCTGTTACTGTACTTGTGCAAGGCCGTCCTGAGACGTCAGGGGTTTGGGCCTGAAGTTTACACTTCAGTTTACATTCTTGAGCAGCGCCGTCTGTCGATGACCTCTCAGTCGTGGTTCCGCAGGTCTGATGACAGACGCCTTCCACCCGAGTCCTCTGCCTGCAGAGGATTCTGAGGGGAGTCGGTGTGAAGGGGTGTCCCCGGTCTGATGACGGGGACAGGGCGCGTCCCTGCCTCGACCTGCAGGGCTCCAGGCCTGGTGCCGTCCCCTACCAGGCGCTTTCGGCGAGGCTGGGTGTGTGTGTGTGCTGGGTCACCTTTCGTGTCTTTCAGTCGCTGCCGGCTGCCATGATGGTGCCACCTCAGCCTGTGGTCCTGATGCCCACCGTGTACCAGCAGGGCGTGGGCTACGTGCCCATCGCAGGTGCGTCTGCCCTCCTCGCGGCGTGTCTCCTGGGGTGGCGTTGGAGCAGGAGGGAGGTGTGTGGGGTGTCGGCTGGGCCTGGTCTGCAAGCGGTGCCTGGAGAGCCTCCCCAAACCGGGGCTGTGCTGTCGCATGTGAACTTCTCCTGCACGTGTAGGGAGTACGATCACTTTTTTCTCTTGTTGGTACAAAGAAGGTGAGTTGAATTGTATGGAGATGGGGAAGCATGATTTCTGAGTATTGAGTCACGGTAGCACAAGGTCACGCCCTGTAGAGCAGACGGATGGGCCGCACGCTGGAGCCCTCCTGTGTCCATCTCGTTCCTTTCCACACATGCGGCAGTGTTTACCTTTATGACAGCAGTTCACATTGTGCAGCAGAGTCAAGTTGGGTTTGGATTTTCTCTTGGATTTCTGCTCCTTCACGTCAGCCTGTGGTCGGTTCCCACCCTGACTCTGATTGGAAGTGACATAGCCCCCCTGGGTGTGAACAGTCTGTAGGATGGGGCGGGATGCGATCGTAGGAGGCTCAGAGCCCAGGAGACAGGCAAGGATGTGAGAATGCCGTGCGCACGGTGGTGGCCGTGTCCCCGAGAAACCTCTAAGCTTCTGAGCAGAGCGCGGTGAAGAGTGAGGACTGGAGTTACAGCCCTGGACCCCCCTGGGCGAAGGGGCCTGAGTAGAGTCAGGGTGTCTGCTAAAGGTTGAGTGTTCCAGAAGCATGGGAAATGCGGGGGGGTGGGGGGCGGGGGGGCGTGCGCTGCAGACGGTGGGAGCTGGCGAGCGAAGCTGTCAGCGTCCCCATCTCAGGTCCCCTTCCTGTTCCCCGCTGGTGCAGGGTGGCGGGCGGGCGCCTGCCTAGCTCCAGAACTCCTGGGGCCTCGGTCTCACGAGGCTCAAGGGCCCACATGGGACCCCCCCACCTCTCGCCTCTCAGAATTAAAGGCTGGCGGGCGGCTGGCGCAGGTGGCTGGGTGCTCGGCGGGGCCGCCCAGGATGGGCAGGGGAGGAGGGGGCCGGGGAGTTGGGGGTAGGGGAGGAGGGGCCAGGCCCACTCCTGTGGGGTGTGTGTAGCACAGGTTCCAGCCCACCCCTGCGGCCGGCACCCCTTCACCTCAGCGCTTGTCGGCCCTTCTGCTGGTTTTGGTTTGGACGCTTTTGAGCTGCCTTTGAGGTCATCTGAGCTCAGACGGGAAAGGAAACCATGTAAGCTCTCGGGCCTGGTTGGGTGACTGTGCTTTTGAGTTTCTAAAAGCAAACGGCTTTAAACCCTTTTCTGCTTTTCAGAGCGACGGTTGACCCAGGCTCTGTCCCTGAGCCACAGGTCCTCAGTAGCGCCTCTTGCCTTTTGCTCGTTTGTTTTCCTCACGAGAGGTTCGCAGCTTTGACTTGGGGTCCAGTGGCTCCAGGTCTGAATCTTCCAGGAGCTGAGATGCCTTGAGGTTCTCAGCGTCCACAAGGGAGTGAGGGGGTGCAGCCAGTGTGACGAGCCCGTGTGGAGCAGGGTGTCTGCTGCCCCCAGGACGCTGGGCCGGCCGCCCCGTGGGTCTCCTTCCTTGTCAGGGTCTGACTGGCTGGGTGTCCAGCTGGGAAGGCCTGTCCTGGAGAGCCGGCAGAGGGGGCAGCGGGGCAGTCTCGGTGCTGGGGAGGTGGGTGGGCAGCTGGGTGTGGCCGTGGTGGGAGGGTTGACCCCTGTGGTATAAATGGCCGAGGTCTGCACACCCCTGTTTCTCCCAAGTGTCTGGCCTGTCTGAAAGGTAATGTCAGGGGCTGAGATCTCTGCGGAGACCTCTGGGGTCATGTTCGAGGGGGAAACCTCTGTGGTCATGTCGGGGGGGTAGATCTCTGGGGTTGTATCGGGGGGAGACCCCTGGAGTCGTGTTGGGGGGGAGACCTCAGGTGAGACCTGGGCCCCGCGGTAGAGGTGCTGTCTGCTGAGCCCACCTCTGTTTACAGGGATGCCTGCCGTGTGCAGCCCCGGCGTGGTGCCTGTGGCGCTGCCCCCGGCCGTGAGCGCCCAGCCCCGCTGCAGCGAGGAGGACCTGAAGGCCATCCAGGACATGTTTCCCAACATGGACCGGGAGGTGATCCGCTCCGTGCTGGAGGCCCAGCGGGGCAGCAAGGACGCAGCCATCAACTCCCTGCTCCAGATGGGCGAGGAGTCGTAGACACGCCTGCCGTCTCGCCGCCCGCCCGCCCAGCTCCCCAGAGCACCATCCCCAGCAGATCCCTGTGAACGCGCCCCGCATAGCCCTTCCTCGGACGTCTGTGTAGCCCAGTCCACGCCCTCGTGTAGGATGCATGTGGTTTTGGTTCTTGCAGCCGTTCTGGACGTGGTTGGGGCGGGTGGGGTGGCTCTCCTCCCACTTGCCGTCAGAGGGTGGAGGCGGTGCGTCCCGTGCGCACACCCACTTCCTGCCGCCTGTCCTCCCAGGGTGCTCTCCTGGGAGCAGCGCCCCCTCTGGGTTGAAGGGTGGGGTCTCGTGATGCGGCCTGGCTGGGTAGACACACTAACGTGAGGCAGAGAACCCCTAACAGCTGCTGTGTGTCATGTTAGGACTTTGAGATGGGAAACTCGTCTCCTCCCCGTGGTGGTCTTCCTGGGCCTCTCGCTGGGGCCGGGCAGACCTCGCCGTGGGGCCCAGCCTGGCGTCTGCAGCCACATCCTGAGTCCGCGGCCCCGAGTCTTTCCTGCTGCCTCGCCCCTCTGTGCCGTGTTGTCCCGAGGGGTCGCTGCCCCCCCCAGACGCGCTCTGGCCGCAGAGCTCAGTGAGGTGGGGTGTTGGAAGCAGGCCCCGTCCGTGTCCTTGGCTGTCGAAGGGCCTCTCGGCACTTGGCTCACTGCCGGCCTTCTGTGGGGGGCCCCGGGCCCTGGGATGGGTCACTGTGGTGCCCGCTGGCACCGGGAGGTCTTCCTGAGAGGCAGGAGGTGCCCCGTGGTGTGCACCCTGGCATTGCGTCTGGCTGTGGACACCGAGGACGGGGACAGGCTGGGTGGCGCCCGTGGGAGTGAGCGCACTGAGCGCGCTCTGACGGGGTCACTGGCGGTCAGCCGTGGCCGCTGTTCTGGCTAGAGGCCTTGCCTGGTCTCGGGACGTGGAGACGGACCCCACCCTGTGACGTCGGGCGGTCACCCGAGGTGGCGAGGACTGACTGCAGTCCTGTCCTCCACGTAGGCTTAGTGTGATGCCAGCCAGCGACGCTGCGCTCTGCCTCCCGGGCCGGCGGGCGAGCTGACCAGGCTCCTCCCGTGGTGGCCTGGGGGCGGGAGGCCTGCGAGAGGGGGTTCAGACCACCGGTGCCTTTGCCGCAGGCTCTCTGTAGATGCGTGAGACCAACAATTATGCAGCCACAGACCTGAGTGCAGCGCGGTGACCACATGCAGCACGGCTCCAAACGCCTGACTCCAGCCCCGGCCCATTGGTCCCACACCACCCCCGTCGCTGCCTCCCCCGCCTGGGCCTCTGAGGACAGGAGTCTTGGCTTCAGGGCGGCTACAGATTTGCCAGCTCTCGGGGTCCTTTCTCGTGGACACCTACTGCTTCACTGGGTCAGAGGAGGCTGCATCTGTGGGGCCTCAAGACGTCCGATGGCCCTGCTGTCCCCGCTGCTCTGCTCACGTCCGTGCTCACGTCCAGGCCACCCCTTGGGAGGCACTCAGCGCGGCGCCCGTGGCTGCCGGGCCAAGGACTGGGGCGCCTCGCGGGTCATTGCTGTTCAGTGTCGGAGAGGAGAGGCATGTCCAGTGGGCTCCCCACCCCACCCCCGTTTGAGGAGCCGTGCTGGGTGTTTGCAGAAACAGTCCTTGGAGCTTTGCGTTTCAGATCATTCTGTTGGGGTCCAGGGTCCACATTCCTCTTCGATTGTAAGATATGTTTGTACCTTTCAGCCTTCTAACTTAATAAATGGTCTATGTAAAAACAGAGAAGTCCAGTCCCTCAAAGAGAGTTTACTGTTTTTATTGTGTTTTAATCTGGCTTGTAATAAGCCAGTTGATGAAACAGTCACCAGCAGACTAGTGAGTGAAGGCACAGGGTAGAGGCTGGACTCTGCCCGCGAACCTGGAGTGTGTCCATGGAGCTCAGAATGTGTGTACGGAGCCTGGAGTGTGAGCACGGAGCTCAGGGTGTGTGCACGGAGCCTGGAGTGTGTCCATGGAGCTCGGAATGTGAGCACGGAGCCTGGAGTGTGAGCACGGAGCCTGGGTCTGGTGTCTGGCCGGGCTACCAGAGGACAGAGGCTGGTCATTGGCTCCAGCCCAGGATGGGCTCTGAAATTCCAAAAGCTGGGTGTGCCCCAGGCAGTGCTCCAGGTCATGGCCTGTCCCCTCCCCCAACCCCGCAGCCAGTCCCGCGCCCAGGTCCAGGGCCTGTCAGGCCCCCGAGGTGCATCCCCAGCCCTCCGTCACCCACGCCTCAGCCGCCGCAGCCTGCACACTGCCCCCCCCAGTCGCGGGCAGAGGGGCGGGCTGGCCCCCCCCAGTCAGAGGGGCGGGCTGGCCCCCCAGTTGCGGGCAGAGGGGCAGGCTGGCCCCACTGCTGGGGTGGCGCCCACAGTGCCGTCGCCGGTCCCCACTCCCCCGCGGGGCTCCCTGGGTGGGCCATGCTGCTGCCCTCGGCTGCAGGCCGGCTGCGATCCTCCTGAGGCTCCTCCCTTCCCACCAAGAGCTTTGGAGACTGGTGGGTGGGCCAGGTGCCCCAGCAGCAGCTCTGGTCCTTCCATCTAGGTTTCCCCACGTAGCCTCCCCTGAACGCCAGGGGGATGCACGGGCGCCAGACCCTCGCCCGCGTCCCCCCTGACGCTGCAGGGAAGACGCTGGGACACAGCAGCAGGGTCGCCGGGTCTTGGGAGGCCCGCTGCTGAGCCTGCCACCCTCTGCGGGCTCCTGACCCCTCCTGGTCCCCACAGCTGGCCGACCCACCCCAGGGCCGGGCCCCGTGCAGCTTCCCAGCCCCCTCACGACGCCCGCCCTCCCCACACCCAGCCCTCTCTCGTGGGTCATCTGGACGCACCCCTTCTTCCTCTGCTTCCAGCTGGGTTGCTGGACGCACAGGGAAGGAGGCGTAAGCTTCTGCCGGCACGGCAGGACTCGGTCAGCGCTTGTGGGATGAACGACGGCAGGAGGGGTTCAGAGCTCGGTCAGGCCCTCCACACCGTGGCCCCGAGGGCGGGGCACCTGTTGGAGATGGGTCCCTGGTGCGGGGGCATCCCTCCAGGGCTGTCTTTCCTGTGCTGACAAGAGTGAGTTATCCTCATTAGTGCTTCCATTTTTATATTCAGGCGTAATCTTCAGAGACTTCCTGGTGGGCCAGTGGTTAAGACTCTGCACTTCCACTGCAGAGGGCTTGGGTTTGATCCCTGGTCAAGGATCTAAAATTCCATATGCCACACAGAAGGCCTAAAATAAAATTAGAATAAAATTTCTCATGAAGGAAAAAGGTCTATCATGGATCACATAGGAGCCTCCAGAATCTCTCCAGGCTCCTGGCCCTGCCCCGGTGAGCCTGGAGGCAGAGCTGGGTCCACCCGAGCTGCCGACGTTCACAGGGGTCCAGGTGGGCAGATGATGAGGGCGCTTGGGGCCCACCTGATGGGTCAGGGAGACACAAGGCCCCGGGGTGGGGAGGTGAAGGCCCAACAGGGTCCCAGTCAGGGCCCTGAGTCAGGACTGGACCTGACCGGCCAGCCGTGGGACTTGCCTGGAGCAGGAGTGCAGAGCGGCCCCGGGCTGAGGCTGCACCTGGCGATCCCAGGGCCCTGCAGGTAGGGACCCAGCGGCTGACGCTCCACCTCTCAGCACCGTCTCAGTGACTGGGCTTACAGTCTCTGGAGAGAGATGGGGCCAGCTTGCCCAGTGACTTTAATAACAACATAGCTAGTTATTTCACCAGCAAAAGGGATTTATTCAGGGATTGCCGCTCAGGATATGTGAGCAGTGGTGGACCACAGGCAAATCCAGAGATCAAGGAAGGGGACTTGCTACTCTAGGGAGAAGGGGGAGCTGGGAGGGGCTGTGATCACCAGAGTCCATTGGAGGAGCCGGGGATCCAACGTAAGGAGGCTCCTGGGGGCTGGGCCTCTGCTGTCTCTGATTGGCTGGGCTGCGGGAAGCGGAGGGAAGCTTTCTTCCTCCTGCCGGTTGGGAAGGAGCAATGCCTTCCTGTTGGGGATGGAGCGGGGTGTGTGTTCCCATTTGGGGTGACCAACAACGCCCTGAGGGCAGGAGAGCTGAGCCTGCAAAGCCCGTCCCAACTCCAGCTTGAGCTCAGTTTCCTTCACTCCAGCTAGGCAAGATGTCAGCGCCCTCGTCTCCAAGGTGAGCTCCGACCTGCGGAGCGCAAAGACGGCTCACACACGTGAGCTCTGGTCTGCAGCAAATGACACTCCTCAGGTGCCTTGAAAACACACTTAGCTCTGGAAGAGGTACATGGGTGTAAGGAAGCTGCTGCGCCTTGAGAATGACTGAAGCGTAGGGAATGCTGCTGTTTCACACGTGAATTAGGAGACTAAGGCCAGGGCAGGAGCCAGCCACAGTCACCCAGGAAATCAGACTGAGACGGGGGGGTGCACAGACCCCAGTGGCGGCCGGGGGAGGGGCCGCCAGCCCCTCCCGCAGTCTGGACTGTTTCCAGCCCATTCCGGGGGGCTGCCCTGACTAGACCTCGGAGATCTGAGTAGGAAAGGCCACGAAGAGACCCCAGCCGCCACCTTCCCTGGGGGGTTAAGGACCACGGCCCCTGGGGGACAGCACGAGTCACTGGTTCCTGGGTGCGCTCAGCGCAGAGGCGGGCCCTGTGATGCGCGAGGCCTGGAAGACTCTCCTCTCCCCCACCGGCCTTGCTTGGCTGCAGCCAGCGCCGCCTTGCCCTCCGCAGGGCAGCCTTCCCTGTCTCGCAGGGAGGTGCCCATGCCATATGGGTGAGTCAGGCCAGGCCTGCCACCCTCCCAGTGCACCCAGCTCGTCCTGCCCCGCCTTGTGCAGACCGCGTTCTCCACTCGGGATGGAGCAGCGGAAAAGAAAGGCAGCGACCCCTGCCCTCGCTGGGGAGGAGACGTGGGGGTCAGAGACGGGGCAGGCTGGCCCGTGACAAGTGCCTGCAGGAGGTGCGGACAGCGTGGGGAGGGCTTCCTTCATGGACACACAGCGGCCCCCCCCTCCAAAGGCCCATCCAGTCTTTGCACCTGTGAACCACTTCCTTCTAAACCCTTCGAGTTTGAAATCATGGTGACAGTGTTTGAAATCATGGTGACAGTGTTTCCAAGCCCTCGGGCCACCCCAACTCCGCCCGATACTCCCACAGTCTGAGATGGACCCTGGGGGCCTCCTTGCCACCTGCTCTGCCCACCCCTCCCAGGGGTTCCAGCAAGAGCCTGAGGGGCGGGATTCGGGGACAGCCCTGCCCCCGGATGGTGGGGAGAGCCCAGGGACACAGTTGGCGGGAAGAGACACCAGGACTAGGAAGTGTATGTGATGCTTGGCGTTTATTTGCAAGACTGGGGCTGCATGAACACAGAAGGTGCTGTGGGGACCAACCCCTCCCTGGCCTGCCCCTTGGCCCTCGTAGCCTCAGATCAGGGTCCAGACACCGGCATGCACCCAGCCTGCCTGCCTGACGCAGCTCCCTGGAGGCAGCTGGCCTTGCCTGGCCCGGCCTCAGTCTGCGGTTCGCTGCAGGAGGTAGCCAGTGGGGGTCTGTGCCCCGGGGGCTTCGAGGAGCACAGAGGCCGCGGTGGGACCCCGAGCACAGCGGGGGGTGTGCAGTTTTCTCCACGGCATCCTTCTGATACCGGCTGGGGTCAACGCCTGGATGTGCTCGTGTTCCAGATGAGCGTCATCTGACCCTGATGGCCAGGGAGGTGGCCAAACAGGCACGAGGGGCTCTGAGGGCAGGCCCCCGCCCGGAGTCCTCCTCAAGCCGACCCCCACTGCGCTGTCACCCTGCAGGGCCCAGGCTTCACCGGGCAAGTGCAAAGAGGGTGGGGGCAGTGGTACCCATGGAAGGTGTGTGTGGGCGCCCGTGGTTTCCACGGTGGTGGGGGCGTCTGGGGGGCCCAGGACGTCAGACAGTGGTGGACCCCAAGAGTGGGAAGGTGGACACGCTATCCTCAAGAACCTGGGACGAGGACGCGCAGGCCGGGACGCAGCTGCACTCGTCCACGTGGGTGTAGGTGTGCTGGAAGGCCGTCCCATCGGGGCACTGCATGGTCACCACCTCCTGGTGGGTCCTGGTCTCCTGGCAGCAGGTGCAGCGGCACTGCCCAGCCTGCGCCTCCATGGAGTACCTGCAGACGCACGGCCCTCAGGACCTCCCCATCTACCCGGACTGCCCGCTCCTGGTCTCTCGGGGGTCCGGAGACAGTGGCCAGTTCCCTGAGCGCTCAGGGCTGCTCGTACTGGCCCGGACAGCACTCTGGACCGCTGAGAACCCCCACCTTCCCCAACCAGGCCCCTCTTTCCCAAACCAGCTCCTCAAACTTGCGGACCATGGCAGACCCCTCCTCTGGGAACCTGCCCTGGGCCATCCAGCCAGGTCCGGACCCTTCCTCCTGCCTTTTCTGCCTGGGCTCACAGCTGGCCGTGGCCTGGGTTTCTGTGGGGTGGACTCTGCCAGCAGCTCTGCCCTGACAGTCCGGCTCAGGGAAGGCGCTGATTCTGCCCAGCCCCGAACGCGGGCAGAGCTTCCAGTGGTCGCCCTGGTGCTCTGACCCCCGTGCCCCCCACCCCCAGCTGTCCCAGGCCTGGCTCTGGGGGATGGGGAGTTTCAGGACTTGTGCAGGCCTGCTGGACGGCCCTTCCCTCTTCCCTGTCGCAAGCTGGGCCCTCCAGCCTCAGCCCCAGCGCAGGGTGTCTCTCCAAGGACAGGGTCACGTGGGGCACCGGGTGGTGACCGCATGTCTGGGCTGGGAGTGGAGGGCACGGGCGGCTCACCGGGACACTTCCGGGCAAGAGCCCTCGCAGAAAGAGACCCTGACGGCAGCCTGGGTGACGCAGCCCCGGTGTCGAAGGACCGTCATGTTGGCGTGGACCTGGCAGGTGTCTGCACAGAGGAAAGGCAGTAGGGGCAGGTCTCCGAGGACCCACATAACCTCCCGCTCAGGGTGGGGTTCTAGCGGGGTCGGGCAACTTCGGGAGTCAGTGGGCAGAGCTGAGGGCGCTGAGAGGCAGGAAGGTGAGCCTCGACTTACCCGTTTGCACACAAGAGTAGCAGCAGCCAATTTTCTTGAGGATGCCCTGTGGGGGGAGGGTGCAGAGGCGGGGCTGGAGTGGGCGGGGCTCCTTGGAGGGTGGGCAGGGTTCCTTGGTGGGTGGGTGGGGCTGGAGTGGGCAGGGCTCTGTGGTGCTTGGTTGGGGCTGGAATGGGCGGGGCTCCGTGGTGGGAGGTTGGGACCTTCTGGTGATGGACTCGGGATGGGTGGGTGTGGGCTGTGATGTGGACCGGGCTTCTGTGCCAGGAGGCCAGCCTGGGTAGCCTGAGTCCAAGACACACACCTTGCAGGTGGACACGTCGGGGCAGACCACAGGCGTTGGGGTCAGCATAGGGGGTCCGTCCCTGGCCTGGCAGTGGTACTCCGTGCAGTTGTCCACTAGGCTGTTGACCCAGGTCTCGTTGAGCTGGAATGAAAGGGGGAGAATGGGTGGGGGCCGGGCTGGGGATTACCTGGTGGGCAGAGAGGAGCTGGCCAGGAGGGTCTCTGCAGGGCAGGGGCTGAGACTGAGTGCCCCCTTACCTGGACCAGCTGGCCATCCGGTGCGAGGCAGGCGGTCTGCACGCACTCCCCACAGCACTGCCCGGCCACCGTGGAGTACTCAAAGCCCTGGGGCAGAGGTGTGGTCACGTCCCACACCCAGCCCCCCTGCTCTCCGCCCACCCCGGAGCCCAGGGCTAGCCTCCTTGGCATCCCCTTTCCTCTGTGAAGCATGCCCCTGCCCAGCCGCAGGGTCCCCTCTTAGCCTTAGCCCTGCTCCCAGCACCTTCTCCAGTTCGGCCCTCCAGGAACGGATCCCGGCAGCCTACAAGTCCGCTCCCCACCCAAGGCCCCGTGCCCCACCCTCCTGCTTCACTCCCTCCTTTTGGGAAGAAAAAGCCTCTGCGAAGGCTGAGCTGGAGGCCCTCCCGGGGGCCCAGGATCCAGTGACAGGGCTCCCCAGGGCCCCAGCCCAGCCTCACCTGGAGGCAGGTGGTGTTGCACGCCTTCTCCTCACACCACATGGTCGGGTCCCTGCTATCCATGGACAGACAGGTGCACGTGTGGCATGGAGTGACCCCTTGGAAGGTCGCACCGACCTGCAGTGGACAGGGTTGGGGGAGGCGACCCTGAGGGGGCACCAGGGCCAGGCCACCTCCCTGTGCCCGTGAGACCCACAGAGTGGTCCCCTTCCTCTTCACATGGGATCACAGACGTGACCCTGGCTGAGCACAGACCGGGGCATCGGGGACCCCGGGCGGGTGGGAGGGGCGGTCCTGCCCCAAAGCTCTTGGTGGGAGATCCCGAAGCTAAGCTGCTAGTGGCTCTCGAAAGCAGCTGCCTCCAAAGGGCTCAGGGCCTCGACCCACCCGCGGGGCACAGGGGTCCTCGGAGGACGTGCTGAGCCCGGAGCCCACCCTCCACCTGCCCCGACTGCCTGGCTGCGGAGCCCTTACCCCATAGAACGTGCCATTGAAGGTGCACAGCAGAGGGTCTGGAAGGAGAAGGGATGCTGAGCGCCTGCCGGGCGGCCCCCAGCCCCAGCCCCACCACCCCCCCAGCCCAGAGACTCACTGCAGCTGAAGGTGGGGCAACAGTCATCCTCCACCTGGGTGCGGACCAGCTTCTCTCCCGGCCTACACGCAGGTGGGCTCTGGGGGCACGTGCTTGCATTGCAGACTGCGGGAGAGTCAGGGGGCTGCCTGGGGTGTCCCTGCCCCCTCTTGCCACTACTGTGGTTCCCAGGGTAACATTGCCCCACACTGGACCGGAGAGGTCCTTTCCACAGGAGTTGATGGCTCTCTGTGGCCCTTCTGGACCACACTTTGTCACCTCCCCGGTCTTCCCCAAGACCCTGCCTGGTACCAGGGACACCAGAGGCCACCAGCTTCATTTTTAGGTGGAAAAGTGAAGGACCGAGAGGCCCCCCACCTCGGGATCCAGCCTCAGCCCAGCCACAGGACCCCGAGGCACTCCTGTCCTGCCGGCCAGGTGGCCTGTGCCAGGCACCGGGCCACCCACCCGCCCACTGGGGTGCAGATCTCACCGCACAGAGTCTCCATGCAGCACGGTTTGTCTGCCAGAGGCCTGCTCACAGCCACGAAGCCGGCCTCGCTGCATTCCTGTGGCTGGTCTGGGGTCGGGCACTCCACAGGTGTGCACTGCACTGACACGGCGCCCTTGTCACACACGCAGTCCTGGCAGTTGCTGACCCACCGCTCTCCGGGCTGCAACAGACCAGGTCAGGGTCCCCCAGGGCTCCCGGGTGGTGCCCTGGCCTCTGGGGTCACGTCCAGCAGCAGGTCGGGCCCCAGCCTCCCTGTCCTGGGAGCAGCCGTGAGGCTGACGCGGCTCACACCTGGGTGTGCCACACCCGCACCCACCCTGCCGCCCGACCCCAGGCAGAGCTGGGGCCCTGGGAGGGGAACACCCGCACTCCTCCCGCTCAAGCGAGGAGCCGGGCCGCCAAGGGCAGAGCACTCACGAATTTGGGAAGCCCGTCCGGTCCCACACAGGCTGCGAGGCAGGAATGGGGAGAAAGGGATCAGTGGGAGCGCCGGGGTCGGGGGCCAGCCGGCCTGGCCACCCCTCCCCAGTGGAGGCCTTGTCTCCCTGCTTGGGTAGAAGCCCCTGGAGAGCTCAAGGGGGGTCACTTAGGAGGGGGCTCAGGAAGGCTCCGGGCCACGCTGTGCCGCCGGCAGGACTGCCCGCCCCGGGTCCCTCCCGCTCTCCAGGGCTGGGTGGGCCTGGAGCGGGGTGCTTACGGCACTCGGGCACGCAGATGTCCCTGTGGGAGTTGAAGAGGATGTGGCCATCGGGACAGAAGCAGCCCTCTGCCAGCCCCACGCTCAGCGGGCTCTGGCTCCTGCAAGGCGACAAAGGCAGATTGAGGGGGAGGGCAGTGGGCACGGTGCAGGCCTGGGGTCAACCTCGGGTCCGGGGTGGGAGGTCGGGTTGGGGAAGGGCACCCCTGAGATCTGGAGCTGGGGTCCTGGAGCCTCGTGGGTCTCCTCCTGGCTCCCCACCAGGCCCTCCGGGCTGGCCTGGGAGGCCCGCTGTCCCTGCTGCTCTCTCCCTGTCAGCTGGGCTCACCTGGAGTCGCAGGACTCCGGCTGCACGGGGCCACACGACTTGTACACCTTGGAGGGCGGGCAAGCGAGGTCTGGGGGCACACAGACAGGTGTCAAGCGGGCCGAGGAGGCCAGGGCCCCCGGCGGCCATGCCCAACTCACCGCACAGCCCGTGGGTGGCGTTGCGCCAGTCGGGGCAGACACCCCGGGAGCGGCAGAGCTCTGCGTAGGCCTCCAGGCTCTGGCAGAGCACCGCACGGCCGCGGCCGGGCCAGCAACTGTCACTGACACAGGCGTTGAAGTACGGGCCAGGTGGGATGAGGCTGTGGCACCCGGCGAAGACCCTGCAGGCAGGGCCCATCAGAGGCTGGAGCAGAGGCCCCTCAGGGTGATGGCCCCTCCCACCACCACCGCCCAGCCCAGCTGGAGGACTCACGGGCTCAGCATCAGCTCACAGAGGGGCTCTGGGGGGCACGATGGCTGGATGGCAGGCGTGCTCGTTCCCGGCAAGAGGGGGCTGGTGGTTATGGGCAGGCCGGTGGGCACCCCGCAGCCCTCCCCACTGCTCTCGGAGACCAGCCAGGACCGGGCCATGTCCTGGCAGGTGCGGGCCATGGTGCCGTCGGGCCGGCGACATTCGTCCCTGCGGTTGTTGGTGCAGGTGCCTGGGGAGGGTGGGGTTCGAGGAGGGAAACACACTGGACCATCTTCGCCTTCTCCCTTCATCCCACAACCTTCCCAGCAACTGCTCAGCTATCAAACAGGGCTTCCCGCCGGGGCAGGTGCGGGGGCCGGGTGTGTTTGGGGGTCCCCCTGGGAGCGGGCGGTGCACCCACAGTGGTGGTGCCAGCCCCTCACCACCCCCACAGGCGTCCTGCAGTTCCTGCTCACCGCACTGGCCCTCGGTGTTGTGATTGAAGCGGCTGTACGAGAGCCGGGCCTGGAAGACCTGCCCGTTGAAGGTGATGCTGACACCGACGGCGGGAATATCAACACGCATTCCGGTGGCCCCGGTCAGGGTCACAGTCACGCCGTTCTTGCTGAAGCTCTGCCTCACCCGCGTTTGGTTCAACAGGATCTGGGGGCATGACCGGGGAACACGTGATGGAGGCCGCGCCTGCCTTTGGGGCTTTCCTCCCAGTGCTGGGCCCCCCTCCTTGGTACCCATGCCCCGAAGAGCAGATGCCCACCTCGGGCCGGAGTCAGGGTTGGTGTGTTTGGGTCCTGGGTGCTCTCGGCCTCAGGCACCCCTCATGCCCCTTCCCTGCCCTCTCTGGAGTCACCACGCCCGGGACCCCAGGTCCCGGTGTGCCCTCTGCCTTCCCCGAGGCCCCCCAGGAGCTGCTCTCTGAGGGGAGGGGGACGTGATCTCTGTGCACCAGTGCCCCCCCCAACCAGGCCAGGACCGGCCAGTGCCGCTCTGCCGCCCGCGCTCACCAGACTTTCCTCTTGCCCACCAGCGCCAGTGGAGGTGGAGAGGACGATGTCCACGGGCTGGTAGTGGATGCTCAGAGCGCGGGGGCAGTGGGCAGCGGCCTCGCAGAAGCGGTTGTGCAGCAAGATGCGGAGGTTGCCGTAGCGTGGCTGGATCTCGCGCACAAGGACGTGGGTGCAGTTGTCCAGGAAGGAGTAGGAGGTGCCATCGAAGGTCTCATAGTGGGCGCCCCCCCAGCCACTGCAGACGCCTGCAGGCGTGGACGGGCCTTACCCAATGCCACCAGGAGCTACCACCTTGGGGGTGGCTCAGCCCCAGGGGCGTCCATCCCTCCTTCAGGACACGAGTGGACCCGGTTGGATGGGGAGGCCCCCCAGACGTGTCCACTCAGAGCCTGTGAGCGTGACCTCCTTTTGGGGGAAGGAGGGTCTCTACAGCTGTGATTAAGTGAAGGCTTGTGGGGGGAGTCATCCTGGATGACCGGGAAGCCCTCAATCCAATGACAAGGGTCCTTCTAAGAGACAGGGAAGAAGCTGCGTGATGACTGGGTGGAGATGGGGCCACAGCCCAGGTGCGTCCAGGGCCCCAAGTCTGGAGGGCCAGGCAGCACCCCCCACCTTTAAAGCTTTGGGGACAGCACAGTCCCTCTGACTCCTTGATCTCAGACTTCTGGCCTCCAGGACCACAAGAGAATGAACTCCTGCTGTTTTAAGATGCCTGGCTGGGGGGGGTCATTTGTTTCGGCCACCCCAGGACCCTCAGGACTGTAAGACCACCCACCTCCTCCCGCGTGCCATTCTGCCGTGAAAGCTGCTCAGGACCCTCAGGATGCGACCCCCTCGGAGCTCCTCACCTTCACCCCTACTCTCGCTGTTCTTAGAAACCCCTGGATTCCCTTCAAACTGTCAAGCCTGATGGGGATGGGCCCAGGAGCCCCAGGCCTAGGGCATGGGGGGTGTGTGCACGTCTCAAATTCCACCAGCCTTCCCCCCACCCGGAACCAAGGGCGGGCACTCACACTCGCACTCGTAGTGGTAGTCACAGGGATGGCTCTGATTCTGCACCTTCACGGGCAGGTGCCCGTTCACACAGGTGATGCTGTTCATCGGCCGTGGTCCCAGCAGGATGATACGGTTGTCACCTTCACAACGGGCCACCGTGCAGTCCTCCAGGAACCAGGACTCATTCACCTGTGAGAGACAGCGCAGCACTCACGGGGTGGGCTGGCAGGACCCCTTCTCACTGCCCCCACCTCAGCCTCGGGAACCCTCCCCGCCAGCCTGGGGCAGGGCAGCCCCTGCCTCCTGGCTGAACTCGGACCCCGCGTGCTTTCCTCCAGCCAGAGCAACCCGTGGAATGGCCACTGAGGGCTTGGGGTGTGCCATCAACCTTGACGGGTGCCCCGGGCCCCATGCACACGGAAAGGCCTGGCAAGTCATGGTGGAGGTGGAAGGCACACCTTTCGAGGAGGAATTGTGCGATCACAGCCGACAACTGGGGTGGTTGGGGGCACAGAGGCTGAGGTTCTTGGGGGTGAGGAGGTAGGGCAGGTGCCCTGGAAGCGGTCAAGGTCACAGTGCTGGTTGCAGATGGCTAAGAAGGGGCAGCCTGCCCCATCTGTCTTGTTGTAGACAATGTCCCCTACAAGGTCAGAGACAACAGGTCAGCCAATGTGGGGCAAAAGGGTATGATACAATCAAGGCAACCAAACCAGGGAGGAGGTCTGCAGGAGGGGGTGCCACTTCACGTACCTGGTAGGAAGAACTTCCCAAAGGCGTGACAAAGGCAGGGTGTGGTGGGCCCAGACGAGGTTGGGGGGACAACAGAGGGCATCAGGCTGCCAGAGGTCTCTGAGGACCAGGACGGGGTAGTGGGTGGAGACCCAGGAGTAATCGATAAGGGGGAGGTCAATGGGTGACCTGTGGGTGAGATACTGGACAAGCCTGGCTTGGTGGTCATGGGTGAGGACCCCGGGAAGGCAGAGGGACTAGAGATGGACACCCTCTCGGTGGTCCCCATGGAGGATGGAGCTGTCACACTGGTGGGGGTAGACACCGTTTTTGAGGTTGCTGTGGAGGAGGGTCCAGGCAAACTGGTGGGGGTGGAAGTCCTCCTGCTGGTAGCTGTGTAGAAGGGAGCTGTCACACTCGTGGGCGTGGAGACCCTTTCTGAGGTCGCTGTGAAGGAGGGTCCTGTCACACTGGTGGGGGTGGAGGTCCTCTCGGTGGTCGCTTTGGAGGGAGGTCCTGTCACACTGGTGGGGGTGGAGGTCCTCTCGGTGGTCATGGTGGAGGAGGGTCCTGTCACACTGGTAGGGGTGGAGACCCTTTCTGAGGTTGCTGTGGAAGAGGGTCCTATCCCACTTGTGGGGGTGGAGACCCTCTCTGTGGTCCCTAGGGAGGGAGCTGTCACACTGGTAGGGGTGGAGGTCCCCTCAGTGGTCGCTTTGGAGGGGGGTCCTGTCACAGTGGTGGGCGTGGAGGTCCTCTCGGTGGTTGCTGTGGAGGAGAGTCCTGTCACACTGGTGGGGGTGGAGGTTTTCTGTGTGGTTGCTGTGGAGGAGGATCCTGTCACAGTGGTGGGCGTGGAGGTCCTCTCAGTGGTTGCTGTGGAGGAGAGTCCTGTCACACTGGTGGGGGTGGAGGTTCTCTGTGTGGTTGCTGTGGAGGAGGATCCTGTCACACTGGTGGGGGTGGAGACCCTCTTGGTGGTCGCTGTGGAGGAAGGTCCTGTCACACTGGTGGGGGTGGAGGTCCTCTCTGTGGTCGCTGTGGAGGAGGATCCTGTCACACTGGTGGGGGTGGAGGTCCTCTCTGTGGTTGCTGTGGAGGGAGGTCCTGTCACACTCGTGGGGGCAGAGGTCCTCTCTGTGGTCACTGTGGAGGAGGGTCCTGTCACACTCGTGGGGGTGGAGGTCCTCTCTGTGGTCGATGTGGAGGAAGGTCCTGTCACTGTGGTGGGCGTGGAGACCCTTTCTGAGGTCGCTGTGGAGGAGGGTCCTGTCACACTCGTGGGGGCGGAGGTCCTCTCTGTGGTCGCTGTGGAGGAGGATCCTGTCACACTGGTGGGGGTGGAGGTCCTCTCTGTGGTCGCTGTGGAGGAGGGTCCTGTCACACTGGTGGGGGTGGAGGTCCTCTCGGTGGTCACTGTGGAGGAGGATCCTGTCACACTTGTGGGGGTGGAGCTCCTCTCTGTGGTCACTGTGGAGGAGGGTCCTGTCACACTGGTGGGGGCAGAGGTCCTCTCTGTGGATGCTGTGGAGGAGGATCCTGTCACACTGGTGGGGGTGGAGGTCCTCTCTGTGGTTGCTGTGGAGGAGGGTCCTGTCACACTCATGGGGGCGGAGGTCCTCTCGGTGGTCGCTGTGGAGGAGGATCCTGTCACACTTGTGGGGGTGGAGCTCCTCTCTGTGGTCACTGTGGAGGAGGGTCCTGTCACACTGGTGGGGGTGGAGGTACTCTCTGTGGATGCTGTGGAGGAGGGTGCTGTCACACTGGACGGGGTGGAGACCGTTACAGTGGTTACTGTGGAGGATGGAGTTGTCACACTGGTGGGTGTGGAGGTCCTCTCGGTGGTCGCTGTGGAGGAGGGTCCTGTCACACTGGTGGGGGTGGAGGTCCTCTCTGTGGTCGCTGTGGAGGAGGATCCTGTCACACTGGTGGGGGCGGAGGTCCTCTCGGTGGTCACTGTGGAGGAGGATCCTGTCACACTGGTGGGGGTGGAGGTCCTCTCTGTGGTCGCTGTGGAGGAGGGTCCTGTCACACTCGTGGGGGTGGAGGTCCTCTCTGTGGTCGCTGTGGAGGAGGATCCTATCACACTGGTGGGGGTGGAGGTCCTCTCAGTGGTCGCTGTGGAGGAGGATCCTGTCACACTGGTGGGGGCGGAGGTCCTCTCGGTGGTCACTGTGGAGGAGGATCCTGTCACACTGGTGGGGGTGGAGGTCCTCTCGGTGGTCGCTGTGGAGGAGGATCCTGTCACACTGGTGGGGGCAGAGGTCCTCTCGGTGGTCACTGTGGAGGAGGATCCTGTCACACTCGTGGGGGTGGAGGTCCTCTCTGTGGTTGCTGTGGAGGAGGATCCTGTCACACTCATGGGGGCGGAGGTCCTCTCGGTGGTCACTGTGGAGGAGGGTCCTGTCACACTCGTGGGGGTGGAGGTCCTCTCTGTGGTCGCTGTGGAGGAGGATCCTGTCACACTGGTGGGGGTGGAGACCCTCTTGGTGGTTGCTGTGGAGGAAGGTCCTGTCACTGTGGTGGGCGTGGAGACCCTTTCTGAGGTCGCTGTGGAGGAGGGTCCTGTCACAATCGTGGGGGTGGAGGTCCTCTCTGTTGTCGCTGTGGAGGAGGATCCTGTCACACTCGTGGGGGCGGAGGTCCTCTCTGTGGTCGCTGTGGAGGAGGGTCCTGTCACACTCGTGGGGGTGGAGGTCCTCTCTGTGGTCGCTGTGGAGGAGGATCCTGTCACACTGGTGGGGGTGGAGACCCTCTTGGTGGTTGCTGTGGAGGAAGGTCCTGTCACTGTGGTGGGCGTGGAGACCCTTTCTGAGGTCGCTGTGGAGGAGGATCCTGTCACACTGGTGGGGGTGGAGGTCCTCTCTGTGGTTGCTGTGGAGGAGGGTCCTGTCACACTCGTGGGGGCAGAGGTCCTCTCTGTGGTTGCTGTGGAGGAGGATCCTGTCACAATGGTGGGGGTGGAGGTCCTCTCTGTGGTTGCTGTGGAGGAGGGTCCTGTCACACTGGTGGGGGTGGAGGTCCTCTCGGTGGTTGCTGTGGAGGAGGGTGCTGTCACACTCGTGGGGGCGGAGGTCCTCTCGGTGGTCACTGTGGAGGAGGATCCTGTCACACTCGTGGGGGTGGAGGTCCTCTCTGTGGTTGCTGTGGAGGGAGGTCCTGTCACACTCATGGGGGCGGAGGTCCTCTCTGTGGTCGCTGTGGAGGAGGATCCTGTCACACTGGTGGGGGTGGAGACCCTCTTGGTGGTCGCTGTGGAGGAAGGTCCTGTCACTGTGGTGGGCGTGGAGACCCTTTCTGAGGTCGCTGTGGAGGAGGGTCCTGTCACACTCGTGGGGGCGGAGGTCCTCTCCGTAGTTGCTGTGGAGGAGGGTCCTGTCACACTGGTGGGGGTGGAGACCATCGCAGTGGTTACTGTGGAGGACAGACTTGTCACAGTGGCCGGGGTGGAGGTTCTCTGTGTGGTTGCTGTGGAGGAAGGTCCTGTCACACTGGTGGGGGTGGAGACCCTCTTGGTGGTTGCTGTGGAGGAAGGTCCTGTCACTGTGGTGGGCATGGAGACCCTTTCTGAGGTCACTGTGGAGGAGGGTCCTGTCACATTCGTGGGGACGGAGGTCCTCTCTGTGGTCACTGTGGAGGAGGATCCTGTCACACTGGTGGGGGTGGAGGTCCTCTCTGTGGTCGCTGTGGAGGAGGATCCTGTCACACTGGTGGGGGTGGAGGTCCTCTCTGTGGTCGCTGTGGAGGAGGATCCTGTCACACTGGTGGGGGTGGAGGTCCTCTCTGTGGTCGCTGTGGAGGAGGATCCTGTCACACTGGTGGGGGTGGAGGTCCTCTCGGTGGTTGCTGTGGAGGAGGATCCTGTCACACTTGTGGGGGTGGAGGTCCTCTCAGTGGTCGCTGTGGAGGAGGATCCTGTCACACTGGTGGGGGTGGAGGTCCTCTCGGTGGTCACTGTGGAGGAGGATCCTGTCACACTCGTGGGGGTGGAGGTCCTCTCGGTGTTCGCTGTGGAGGAGGATCCTGTCACACTGGTGGGGGTGGAGGTCCTCTCTGTGGTCGCCTTGGAGGAGGGTCCTGTCACACTGGTGGGGGTGGAGGTCCTCTCTGTGGTCGCCTTGGAGGAGGGTCCTGTCACACTGGTGGGGGTGGAGACCCTTTCTGAGGTCGCTGTGGAGGAGGGTCCTGTCACACTCGTGGGGGCAGAGGTCCTCTCTGTGGTCGCTGTGGAGGAGGGTCCTGTCACACTCGTGGGGGCAGAGGTCCTCTCTGTGGTCGCTGTGGAGGAGGATCCTGTCACACTGGTGGGGGCGGAGGTCCTCTCTGTGGTCGCTGTGGAGGAGAATCCTGTCACACTGGTGGGGGTGGAGGTCCTCTCTGTGGTCGCCTTGGAGGAGGGTCCTGTCACACTGGTGGGGGTGGAGACCCTTTCTGAGGTCGCTGTGGAGGAGGATCCTGTCACACTGGTGGGGGCGGAAGTCCTCTCTGTGGTCGCCTTGGAGGAGGGTCCTGTCACACTGGTGGGTGTGGAGGTCCTCTCTGTGGTCGCTGTGGAGGAGGATCCTGTCACACTGGTGGGGGTGGAGGTCCTCTCTGTGGTCGCCTTGGAGGAGGGTCCTGTCACACTGGTGGGCGTGGAGGTCCTCTCTGTGGTCGCTGTGGAGGAGGATCCTGTCACACTGGTCGGGGTGGAGGTCCTCTCTGTGGTTGCTGTGGAGGAGGGTCCTGTCACACTGGTGGGGGTGGAGACCCTCTTGGTGGTCGCTGTGGAGGAGGGTCCTGTCACATTCGTGGGGGCGGAGGTCCTCTCTGTGGTTGCTGTGGAGGAGGGTCCTGTCACACTGGTGGGGGTGGAGGTCCTCTCGGTGGTTGCTGTGGAGGAGGGTGCTGTCACACTCGTGGGGGCGGAGGTCCTCTCGGTGGTCACTGTGGAGGAGGGTCCTGTCACACTCATGGGGGCGGAGGTCCTCTCTGTGGTCGCTGTGGAGGAGGATCCTGTCACACTGGTGGGGGTGGAGGTCCTCTCTGTGGTTGCTGTGGAGGAGGGTCCTGTCACACTGGTGGGCGTGGAGGTCCTCTCTGTGGTCGCTGTGGAGGAGGATCCTGTCACACTGGTGGGGGTGGAGCTCCTCTCTGTGGTCGCTGTGGAGGAGGGTCCTGTCACATTCGTGGGGGCGGAGGTCCTCTCTGTGGTCGCTGTGGAGGAGGGTCCTGTCACACTCATGGGGGTGGAGGTCCTCTCAGTGGTCGCTGTGGAGGAGGATCCTGTCACACTGGTGGGGGTGGAGGTCCTCTCTGTGGTCGCTGTGGAGGAGGATCCTGTCACACTGGTGGGGGTGGAGGTCCTCTCTGTGGTCGCTGTGGAGGAGGATCCTGTCACACTTGTGGGGGTGGAGCTCCTCTCTGTGGTCGCTGTGGAGGAGGGTCCTGTCACACTGGTGGGGGTGGAGGTCCTCTCTGTGGTCGCTGTGGAGGAGGGTCCTGTCACATTCGTGGGGGCGGAGGTCCTCTCTGTGGTCGCTGTGGAGGAGGGTCCTGTCACACTCATGGGGGTGGAGGTCCTCTCAGTGGTCGCTGTGGAGGAGGATCCTGTCACACTGGTGGGGGTGGAGGTCCTCTCTGTGGTCGCTGTGGAGGAGGATCCTGTCACACTTGTGGGGGTGGACCTCCTCTCAGTGGTCGCTGTGGAGGAGGATCCTGTCACACTGGTGGGGGTGGAGGTCCTCTCGGTGGTTGCTGTGGAGGAGGATCCTGTCACACTGGTGGGGGTGGAGGTCCTCTCTGTGGTTGCTGTGGAGGAGGGTCCTGTCACACTGGTGGGGGTAGAAGTCCTCTCAGCGGTCCCTGTGGAGAAGGGAACTGTCACAGTGGTGGGGGTGGAGGTCCTCTCTGTGGTTGCTGTGGAGGAGGGTCCTGTCACACTGGTGGGGGTGGAGGTCCTCTCTGTGGTCACTGTGGAGGAGGATCCTGTCACACTTGTGGGGGTGGAGCTCCTCTCAGTGGTCGCTGTGGAGGAGGATCCTGTCACACTGGTGGGGGTGGAGGTCCTCTCTGTGGTTGCTGTGGAGGAGGGTCCTGTCACACTGGTGGGGGTAGAAGTCCTCTCAGCGGTCCCTGTGGAGAAGGGAACTGTCACAGTGGTGGGGGTGGAGGTCCTCTCTGTGGTTGCTGTGGAGGAGGGTCCTGTCACACTGGTGGGGGTGGAGGTCCTCTCGGTGGTCACTGTGGAGGAGGATCCTGTCACACTGGTGGGGGTGGAGGTCCTCTCTGTGGTCGCTGTGGAGGAGGGTCCTGTCACACTGGTGGGGGCGGAGGTCCTCTCTGTGGTTGCTGTGGAGGAGGATCCTGTCACACTGGTGGGGGTGGAGGTCCTCTCTGTGGTCGCTGTGGAGGGAGGTCCTGTCACACTGGTGGAGGTGGAGGTCCTCTCTGTGGTCGCTGTGGAGGAGGATCCTGTCACACTGGTGGGGGTGGAGACCCTCTTGGTGGTCGCTGTGGAGGAAGGTCCTGTCACTGTGGTGGGCGTGGAGACCCTTTCTGAGGTCGCTGTGGAGGAGGGTCCTGTCACACTCGTGGGGGCAGAGGTCCTCTCTGTGGTTGCTGTGGAGGAGGATCCTGTCACACTGGTGGGGGTGGAAGTCCTCTCTGTGGTCGCTGTGGAGGAGGATCCTGTCACACTCGTGGGGGCGGAGGTCCTCTCTGTGGTCGCTGTGGAGGAGGATCCTGTCACACTGGTGGGGGTGGAGACCCTCTTGGTGGTCGCTGTGGAGGAAGGTCCTGTCACACTGGTGGGGGTGGAGGTCCTCTCTGTGGTCGCTGTGGAGGAGGATCCTGTCACACTGGTGGGGGTGGAGGTCCTCTCTGTGGTCGCCTTGGAGGAGGGTCCTGTCACACTCATGGGGGCGGAGGTCCTCTCTGTGGTCGCTGTGGAGGAGGATCCTGTCACACTGGTGGGGGTGGAGACCCTCTTGGTGGTCGCTGTGGAGGAAGGTCCTGTCACTGTGGTGGGCGTGGAGACCCTTTCTGAGGTCGCTGTGGAGGAGGATCCTGTCACACTGGTGGGGGCGGAGGTCCTCTCTGTGGTCGCTGTGGAGGAGGGTCCTGTCACACTGGTGGGGGCGGAGGTCCTCTCTGTGGTTGCTGTGGAGGAGGATCCTGTCACACTGGTGGGGGTGGAGGTCCTCTCGGTGGTTGCTGTGGAGGAGGATCCTGTCACACTGGTGGGGGTGGAGGTCCTCTCTGTGGTCGCTGTGGAGGGAGGTCCTGTCACACTGGTGGAGGTGGAGGTCCTCTCTGTGGTCGCTGTGGAAGAGGATCCTGTCACACTGGTGGGGGTGGAGACCCTCTTGGTGGTCGCTGTGGAGGAAGGTCCTGTCACTGTGGTGGGCGTGGAGACCCTTTCTGAGGTCGCTGTGGAGGAGGGTCCTGTCACACTCGTGGGGGCAGAGGTCCTCTCTGTGGTTGCTGTGGAGGAGGATCCTGTCACACTGGTGGGGGCGGAAGTCCTCTCTGTGGTCGCTGTGGAGGAGGATCCTGTCACACTCGTGGGGGCGGAGGTCCTCTCTGTGGTCGCTGTGGAGGAGGATCCTGTCACACTGGTGGGGGTGGAGACCCTCTTGGTGGTCGCTGTGGAGGAAGGTCCTGTCACACTGGTGGGGGTGGAGGTCCTCTCTGTGGTCGCTGTGGAGGAGGATCCTGTCACACTGGTGGGGGTGGAGGTCCTCTCTGTGGTCGCTGTGGAGGAGGATCCTGTCACACTGGTGGGGGTGGAGGTCCTCTCTGTGGTCGCTGTGGAGGAGGGTCCTGTCACACTCATGGGGGCGGAGGTCCTCTCTGTGGTCGCTGTGGAGGAGGATCCTGTCACACTGGTGGGGGTGGAGACCCTCTTGGTGGTCGCTGTGGAGGAAGGTCCTGTCACTGTGGTGGGCGTGGAGACCCTTTCTGAGGTCGCTGTGGAGGAGGATCCTGTCACACTGGTGGGGGTGGAGCTCCTCTCTGTGGTCGCTGTGGAGGAGGGTCCTGTCACACTGGTGGGGGTGGAGGTGGTGATGGCCGTGCTGGGGCAGTGGCTCTTGTCACAGCAGAGCAAGCGGATCTGGTAGTTGAAGCACATCTGGCCACTCTGGTCCTGGTTCCGGCACACCAGGCCCACCTCTAGCTGGCACTCTACCACCTGGCCCAGGTCCTGCAGGGGGATGTCAGGCAGCTCCTCAGCCCGACACTCCAGCCTCAGAGGCTGCTCACAGATAGTCCCACCGGCCGCCCGGATGTTAGCATAGGTCTCAAAGTCCCCCCCATTAGCCCCTGGCATTGGGTAGCTCTGGTCCATCCAGTCTGTCCAGGCACACCGACGCTCACAGGCTGTGGACTCAGTCCCTGGGGGCGTGGGGACCAAGGTGGTCCCAGAGGTGTGGGTCTTTGGGGAGGACAAAGTGGTCACAGAGCTGGAGGTGGTGGTGGTGGTGGTGGGGGGGGGGCCCAGGGAGGTGCCCAGTGAGGAGGTGCTGGGCTCAGGCCATGGAGGGGATAGGGAGGTTCTGGTGCCTGCCCCTGTGCTGGAAGTAGCCTGGCCTGTGCTGAGTGTGGTGACTGGGGGTCTGCTCATGGTCTCAGAGGGCCTGATGGGAAGCTCTGTGACTTGTGTAGTGCCCTTGGAGGTTGTGGGTGGCAGGAAGTGGGTGTGGGTGGTGGCCTGAGTGGTGAGCATCACTGGGCTGGGGGGCAGGTTGGTCACAGAGGTGGACTCAAGAATGTGGGAAGTCACCAGAGTAACTGTGGAGGGGGCACCAGTCAAAGTTGGCTTGGGGGTCGTGGGCAGGACCATGGAGGAAGAGATTTGGGGCCAGGTCGTCATGGAGGTTGAGGTCCATGGCCCCGTCGCGGTGGAGCTGCCAGGGGGCACGGAAGTGGCCTGGAGGCCTGGGGTGGCTGTGGTGGGGCAGTGTCGGACGTCATCACAGCAGTAGACACGGATGTTGTAGTTGAAGCACATGGTGAATGGGCCCTTCTGGTCCTCGTTCCTGCACACCAGCCCTGTCTCCAGGCTGCAGCTGAGCACCTGCCCGATCTGGTCGATGCTGACCTCAGGGTAGTTCTCTGCCCGGCACGCAATCTTCTCTGGCTGCTGGCACAGTTTGCCGCCCGCAGCCCGGATATTGTCGTAGGTCTCTATGTCTCCACCCATGACCCCCGAGGTGGGGAAGTCCACGTCAAACCACTCTGTCCACTGGCACTTGGGTCGACAGCCGGTCATGCCCTGGCTGGTGGGGGGCCCTGTGCTGGCCGTAGTGGGGGCTGGGGTGCCAGTCTTGGTGAGCGGGGTGGGCAGCATGCTGGTGGGAGGGGTGCCTGTTGTGCTCAGGGATGTTTCTGTCGGCGGCTGAGCTGTGGAGGTTTGAGTCGTTGTCAACACCGAGGTGGGCTCCTGTGAGGGTTTCTGAGTCGGGAGGACCGACGTGGCTGTCCCCGGGGTGGTGGACCCTGTGGGTCCTGGAGGAGATGTTGGGGGTGTGCCTGTGTGGCCTGGACTCGAGTATGTCACTCGGGTCGTGAGTCCCGTGGAAAGGCCAGGCACTGGTGTGGCACTGCTGGCAGGGGACCCGGTAACCACCGTGCTCCCCACCTGTGTTCTGGTCTGTGTGGTTGTTGGCACAGCAGTGGAGGTGGTGCTGGAGGCCGTAGAGGCAGTGGGGGCTCTGCCAGTGTAGATGGCGGCAGTGGGCACTGTAGCAGTGATGGCAGTGGCTATGGAGGGGGTGGCCGTGGGCACTGTCGCAGTGGTGGCAGTCACAGTTGTGGCCATGGGCACAGTAGGAGTGGTGGCAGTCACAGTGGTGGCAGTGGGCACTGTTGCAGTGGTGGCAGTGGCTGTGGAGGGGGTGGCCGTGGGCACTGTTGCAGTGGTGGCAGTTGCAGTGGTAGCCGTGGGCACTGTTGCAGTGGTGGCAGTGGCTATGGAGGGTGTGGCTGTGGGCACTGTCCCAGTGGTGGCAGTTGCAGTGGTGGCTGTGGGTACTGTAGCAGTGGTGACAGTGACTATGGAGGGGGTGGCTGTTGACACTGTCGCAGTGGTGGCAGTGGCTGTGAAGGGGGTGGCCATGGGCACTGTAGCAGTGGTGGCCGTGGGCACTGTCACAGTGGTGGCAGTCACAGTGGTGGCCATGGGCACTGTCGCAGTGGTGGCAGTGGCTGTGGAGGGGGTGGCCGTGGGCACTGTCGCAGTGGTGGCTGTAGCAGCAGTGGCTGTGGAGGGGGAGGCCGTGGCCGTGGGGGACGTGGTGGACGTGGGCACCCTGCAGTGGCTGTACCTACAGCACAGCACACGCATTTTGTAGTTGTAGCACATCTTGAACAGGCCCAGTTGCTCGTCGTTTCTGCACACCAGGCCGAAGCGGACATCGCAGTGTACTCGCTGGCCCACCTCCTCTGGTTTCTGGCCAGGGTAGTTCTCAGCCTCACACTCTATATCTTGGGGCTGCTCACACACAGCCCCGCCCGTGCCCCTGATCTTCTCGTAGGTCTCAAAGTCGCCCCCAGCCTCCTCGTACTTCGGGTAGTCCACGTCAAACCACTGTGTCCACTGGCACTTGCGTTCACAGCTGGTCGTGGCCTGGCTGGTGGAGGCCCCTGTGGTGGCTGTAGTCAGGGCTGGGGTGCCAGTCTTGGTGAGCGGGGTGGGCAGCATGCTGGTGGGAGGGGTGCCTGTTGTGCTCAGGGATGTTTCTGTCAGCGGCCGAGCTGTGGAGGTTTGAGTCGTTGTCAACACCGAGGTGGGCTCCTGTGAGGGTTTTTGAGTCGGGAGGACCGACGTGGCTGTCTCCGGGGTGGTGGACCCTGTGGATCCTGGAGGAGATGTTGGGGGTGTGCCTGTGTGGCCTGGACTCGAGTATGTCACTCGGGTCGTGAGTCCCGTGGAAAGACCAGGCACTGGTGTGGCACTGCTGGCAGGGGACCCGGTAACCACCGTGCTCCCCACCTGTGTTCTGGTCTGTGTGGTTGTTGGCACAGCAGTGGAGGTGGTGCTGGAGGCCGTAGAGGCAGTGGGGGCTCTGCCAGTGTAGATGGCAGCAGTGGGCACTGTAGCAGTGATGGCAGTGGCTATGGAGGGGGTGGCCATGGGCACTGTAGCAGTGATGGCAGCGGCAGAGGGGGCTGTGGTTTTAGAGGTGCTGGCTGTGGGCACTGTAGCTGTGATGGCAGTGGAGGTGGCCGCTGTAGAGATGGTGGCAGTCGAGGTGATTCCAGTGGCCGTGGGCACTGTTGCAGTGGTGGCAGTCACAGTGGTGGCCGTGGGCACTGTAGCAGTGGCGGCTGTCTCGGTGGTGGCCGTAGCTATGGATGGGGTGGCTGTGGGCACTGTAGCAGTGGTGGCCGTGGGCACTGTTGCAGTGGTGGCAGTCACAGTGGTGGCCGTGGGCACTGTCCCAGTGGTGGCAGTGACTATGGATGGGGTGGCCGTGGGCACTGTAGCAGTGGTAACAGTCAGAGTGGTAGCTGTGGGCACTGTAGGAGTGGTGGCCATGGGCACTGTAGCAGTAGTGGCCGTGGCTATGGAGGGGGTGGCCGTGGGCACTGTCCCAGTGGTGGCAGTCACAGTTGTGGCTGTGGGCACTGTCGCAGTGGTGGCAGTGACTATGGAGGGGGTGGCCGTAGGCACTGTAGCAGTGGTAACAGTCACAGTGGTAGCTGTGGGCACTGTAGAAGTGGTGGCCGTGGGCACTGTAGCAGTGGTGGCCGTGGCTATGGAGGGGGTGGCCGTGGGCACTGTAGCAGTGGTAACAGTCACAGTGGTAGCTGTGGGCACTGTAGGAGTGGTGGCCATGGCTATGGAGGGGGTGGCTGTTGGCACTGTAGCAGTGGTGACAGTTGCAGTGGTGGCCGTGGGCACTGTCCCAGTGGTGGCAGTGACTATGGAGGGGGTGGCCGTGGGCACTGTTGCAGTGGTGGCCATGGACACTGTAGCAGTGGTGGCCATGGGCACTGTAGCAGTGGTGGCAGTGGCTATGGATGGGGTGGCTGTTGGCACTGTAGCAGTGGTGGCAGTTGCAGTGGTGGCCATGGGCACTGTCGCAGTGGTGGCAGTGGCTGTGGAGGGGGTGGCCGTGGGCACTGTCGCAGTGGTGGCTGTAGCAGCAGTGGCTGTGGAGGGGGAGGCCGTGGCCGTGGGGGACGTGGTGGACGTGGGCACCCTGCAGTGGCTGTACCTACAGCACAGCACACGCATTCTGTAGTTGTAGCACATCTTGAACAGGCCCAGTTGCTCATCGTTCCTGCAGACCAGGCCAAAGCGGATGTCACAGTGCACTCGCTGGCCCACCTCCTCCGGTTTCTGGCCAGGGTAGTTCTCAGCCTCACACTCTATCTCCTGGGGCTGCTCGCACACAGCCCCTCCCGCACCCCTGATCTTCTCGTAGGTCTCGAAGTCGCCCCCAGCCTCCTCGTACTTCGGGTAGTCCACGTCGAACCACTCTGTCCAGCGACAGTGAGGCTCACAGGTGGTGGTGGCTGGGAACGCAGAGCTGCTGCCCTCTGGGGTCGTGGTTGTGGTAAGCTTGGTGGATGGGGTCTGCGAGGTGGGCACTGCCGTGGTTGGGTGGGTGGTTCCTAGAGTGGACGTGGTCTGGGTGGAGGTGGCCGGTGTCTGGGAGGATGGAGACTGGCTGGTGCCACAGGGCACATAGTCACAGCAGAGGACCCTCAGCTCATAGTTGAGACAGAGTGGGGGGCTCTGCTCGCTGTTGAGGCAAGTCAACCCCTTGCCCCGGCTACACTCCACCTTCTGGCCCAGCTTCTCCAGGGGCATGCCTGGGAAGAGCTGTGCCTGGCACTCAATGTCTGCGGGGGCCAGGCAGACCTGGTAGCCCCTCTGCCTCAGGTTCTCGAATGTTTCAAAGTCTCCCCCGCTCATGTCTGGCTCTGGATGGCCTCCATCATACCAGTCGGACCAGTGGCAGACCTTCCACACACACACAGTGGACAGGGTGGGGACCAAGCCTGTGGGCAGAGGGCAGGGGTCCCCGTCAGTCCCCTCTGCATCCTAGCCAGCCAAGCCCAGAGGAGGGGTGACTCATGTCCCCTGCCCCAGGGTTGGCCCCGAACCATCCTTTGCACCCAGGACAGTTGCACCAGGCACTTCCTGGGCCCTCCCTCAGCACCCAGACCACTGTCAGGGTCCAGGGCACTGGGGGCAAGGCAGGACCAGAGGTGTGCCCACCAGGCTCACCCGTGGTGGAGGGCGGAGCTGCCGTGCTGGTGAAGGTGAAGGTGAAGGGCGTTGTAGGTGGGGTTCCGGGGCACTCCACAGCCCTCCGGACGATGGTTCCATTGTCTCTGCAGATGGCAATCAGGCAGGCGCCCAGCCCGTCAGTCGTGTTGTAGATGACGTCCCCGTAGGCATAGGTCCTGCCCTCATAGGTACACATACAGGCTAAAGACGGAGAAGTACAAGGCTCAGTCTGAGGCCCCAGCTCCTCGGCCCCAAACCAACCGGGCCCCCCTTACCCTCGGGGCTGTGCGTGCACTGGAGGCCGCTGGAGGTGCAGTCACTGGGGGAGGGAGAGAGGACAGCTAAGAGCCAGCAGGGCACAAGCCTCGTGTGCCCCCCGGCCCCGCCCTGCACCCGCCCTGGCTCACCAGCTCTGACAGTTCTCCGTGGTGGGAACCCTCTTGCCAACATCATAGTAGTTCCCGTCTTCGTCATAGCAGCCGCTGCACTGGGCCACGCATTTCATCTGATCCTCGTTGAAGAACGGCTTGCTGGATGGGCACTTCGGGTAGCAGCCTGGGGCGGGTACAGGGCGGGGAGAAGACTCACGTCTCAGGCCCAGCGGTGTGAGCTGTCACTGCACCGCCGTCTCTGCCTCTCATGTCCCAGGGGCGGACATGGGGTGGCAGGAACCCCTCACCCGCTTGCCTGTGTGCTGTCCTGGGGTGATGAGGTGTGGCCTCCCCATAGAAGCCTGTCCTCACCTTCCAGGCCTGGCAGGTCCATCAGGCAAAGCCCACTGGGGTTCCGGCAGGTCTTCAGACAGGGGGCCCCGCAGGGCTGGTAATGCCATTCGCACTCCCCATGCGGGTTGTAGTAGTCGCAGAAAAGAGCTGAGCGAGGGGGAGAGAGGCTGCGGGTGCCTGCTGGGCTCACCCCTCCCAGAATGGAGGGGTCTCAGGCTGCACCCCCTGAGTTCCAGTCTTATTTCTCAGCCCTGCCCTCAGAAATGTCCCCCAGGGAGCCTTCCCGTTTGGGGGTGATGTGTCTTTGTGGTTTTTACACACAAGAGCATGTGCACACGCATGTAGTACACGCATGTCCTTGTGTGTGCACACATGCCCGCCAGGCCCCCGCGCGGGTGCAGCTGCACCTCCTCCCACCACCACGGACAGCCCAACTCACGGCAGACGTCCGGGGTCCGCCAGGACACGCATACACCCGCTTCGTGGCAGGCCTGGGCGTAGGCGGCCACAGCCGTGCAGAAGCACTCGCAGTCACCCCCTGAGTCGCAGGCACAGGCATCGCTCACACAGGCTTCGTAGTACCTGGTGGAATCGACCTGGGGCGAGGAGGGGGCTGCTCAGCGAGAAGTGCCAACCCCCAGCCCCTGGACAGCCGGCTGCCCATGTGCAAGCCCCCACCTGCCATCTGGGTGCCCGCCTCGGGTCTCCTGTTGCCTCTCTGGCCTCACCCCACCACCCTTCCCTTGCCTCTGCTGGGCACCTCACTTAGCTGCAGGCCAGCCCTCCCCATGACCCTGCTGTGATCTGTCCTGTCTCCTCAGGGCCAGGGGCTGCCCCCTCCCCATCCTCCCTCCCAGGCAGCAGAGCCTGGGGAGCCCGAGTCTCGCGTTTGCCACCACGGGCAGTGCCATCTGAGTCACAGCCTGCTGTGTCAGTTCACAGAGGATTTTCTGACCGAATGGGCAGAGCGCTGGGGGCGGGAGGCGGAGGTGAGGGGCTGCGATCCAGGAGAACCTCGGGACCTCACGCCGCCGGCCGGCCTCGGGGCAGGCCAGTCCCACTGGCCGCCTGCTCATCGCCGTGCACAGCCCGGGTCCCGAGCTCCATGTCGGCGACCGTGCCCTGAGGTCCGGAAGCAGCAGGGGCCGTGGGGAAGGGCCTGAGGCCATCACAGTCCTCTGCTCCCGAGGGGCCGGGCTGGGGCTGGAGGTGCCCTGAGGTTCCTCTCTGTGCAGGGCGCCGGCAGCTCAGGGAATGTGCGCGAGGACAGGGGCTGACCCTCAGGGCCCGGGAAGCTTGCAGCCCCATTTCCAGGGGGTGAGGCTGTGTGGTCAGGGAACGCAGGGTGGGACTGGGGATGCGGGGGAAGGGCCAGACAGCGTGCCCGGTGCAATGGTCGGGGTCAAGGCCGTTCTCAGAGGGCCAGCTCGGGCCAGACGCAGGTCCCACCCCCACCCTGCCCACCTGAGACCTGCAGGCGCTGAAGGTTGCGCTATTGATGATGCTGCACTGTTTCTGGGCCCAGGACTTGCGGTACGGGTTGGCGGTGCAGGGGTCCCTGGAGGCCAGAGCATCCGGGCAGGATGGGGAGAATTTCCAGCTGTTGCCAAACTCCAGCACGTCGCCCACCACGGACTGGCTCCGCGTGGTGAAGTCATTGAGAGCGTTGTCGTCAAAGTTCCCGCACAGCCCGCAGACCCTCCCCTGCAGGGACAGCACAGGGCACATGAGGCAGCGCCAGGGAGAGACACAGAGCCTGGCCCGGAGGCACGGCTGCAGGCCACCCCACTCCCTCAGGCAGCACCCAGCAAGCTTTCAGGAAGGCGGGCTGCACAAGGGGTCCTGCAGGGGGCAGGATGCCAGGTGGCCAGGTGCCTGCTTCCCCCACAGAGCCTTAGCCCAGTGGGCATGGAGCGGCTGAGCGCAGGGACCAGGGAGCCAAGAGCGCCTCCCCCCCGGGACTGACACGGCCCCTTGGGAACTGGGCATGGGCCTGGCCTACCCCAGCCCTCAGCAGTCCGTCAGCTGCCAGACTGCACTGCTGGGCCTGATCTAGGAGTGAGCGCTCTGCGCCCGCCCGGGGGTCCTGCAGCCTGCCGCCCCCAACCTTGTATTCATGGCGCAGCCGGATGATCACGCTGGTCTTCCGGTCCCAGGACACGACCACACCGCTGTGGGTCTCCACGGTCAGGTAGATGCCCATGTAGCGGACCCTGTAGGGCAGGTCTCCGCCCGGCCCCCTCTGCAGCACCTTGTGGGTGCCCTCGTGCAGGATCAGCTCGTAGCTCTGCAGAGGGGCACGGGGAGGTGGCGCTTGCAGGGAGCTGAGGGGCTGGCTCTGAGGCAGAGCCCACTCCCCAACGTGGCCCAGGCGGGCACCAGGGTGCTTGGGGGCACGAGGCACGGGGCTGGCATTAGGAGTGAGCCAGCCTCCCAACACTATCCTCGAGCTTGAGGTGAGAGGCTGAGGGGGAGCTTGGGGGCCGTCGGTGGTGGGGGGCAGTGCAGAGCACAGGGGGCGGCAGGAGAGCACGCAGCCCCCTCAGCCCCCACGGCCCCTGCTTCCTCACACCTCTCCCCACCTCGGAGCAGGTGGGGACCACCCCCAGCCAGCAGCTGCACTCCCTGTGCTGTGAACCCTGACCTCCTTCTGCTAGAAGGGGTCATCCCCAGGTGTGGTGGGCTGAATGGAAGCCCCCCCAAAAGACGTGTCCAGTTCTAAGCCCCAGAGTCCTCAAATGTGCCCTGGTTTGGGCAAAGGGTCTTCGATGTGATGAAGTGAAGGGTCTGGAGATGAGACCATCCTGGATTTAGGGAGGGCCCAGATCCAGGGACAGGAGTGGGGAAGGACGCAGAGGAGGGGCCGCATGAGGGTGGGGCAGAGACTGGGGGGATGCAGGCACAAGCCAGGAGCCCCAGAAGCTGGTCGAGGCAGGAAGGACCCTCCCTTGGAGCCTCTGGAGGGAGGCCCAGAACCAGGAGAGAATGACTCTCTTGGGTTTCAGGACCCTGGGCTGTGGTCTGGAGGCCCAAGGCCCCTGCGGGGGCTCTGACAGGACTGCAGAGGGAGGGGGTGGCTCCCAGGCTCCCTCACCCCCAGGAAGATCTTGATGGCCTTGGAGCAGGTGACGCCCGTAGTCCCGCAGGGCACGTTCTCGGTGACGATGCGGAAGGTCCCGTTGGCGGCGTTGCTGCCCGCACAGTAGTCCTGGGCGGGGAGGAGAGGGTCGCGGTCACAGCCCCAGCGCCGGCGTCATGGCCGTGGGCGGGGAGGGGCGGCGTACCTGTGCCAGTGTGTACTCGCAGCTCCCCTCGAAGCCGTAGCGCTCGCCGTCGAAGGTGAGGAAGTGGCCGTCCCCGTAGGCCACACAGGTGCCCAGGCAGGGCCGTTCGCTGCACTCCCACCTGCGGCCCCTGCAGGTGCTGTGGGCAAGGGGAGGCGGTGCCGTGACAAGGACGTGGATCCGGCCCTTCTTCCAAAAAGTGGGAGGTGGTGCTGCCCCCGCCCAGGGCTCGAGGGGTTCATAAAGCAGGGAGCACGGGGCCCGGGGGTCCTGCACCCCACACCCTGGGTCATGCTCTTGTCTCCTGCCCTCCACAACGCTCAGTGCCCGGGGTGCAGGCCAGCAGTCATGGGGGCGGCTTTAACCGGCCCTGCCATCTGCTGGGCAGAGGAGGCCAGGCCCTGGGCACTGTCCAGGGGAAGAGCAGACGCCCAGGGCCAGCTCGCCCCATGATGTCGGCCGACACCACCCACCCCCCGTGGCCCCTCCACACACCAGGTGTTGCAGTCGACCTTGATGACCTCCCCGGGCTTGTAGGCGGCCTCGTTGTGCAGGCAAGGGCAGTCCTCCTTGGCCACGCAGCCTCCGCTCCCGTCGGACAGCAGCCCCACTGGGCAGACGCAGCCTGACACGCAGTGGGTGCTGAACTGTGGACAAGCGGGTGCCCGTCAGCAGTTTCTCTGGCCACGGCTCAGGGACACCGAGAGGCGGGAACGCTGCCCACCCGGGCCCCCATCAGCACAGCCCTGTCCTTCTGCCGACTCACACAGTCCACGTCCAGGCTGTGGCAGCTTCGCACGCACTCAGCCCCCGGTGCGTCCGCGGAGGTGTTGCTGCAATCCAGGAACACCATGGGGGCCACACACCCTGCAGAGATGGCCATGCTGGGAGGGTCTCCCGGCCAGCCGCGGCCCTCCCCTCGGTCGTGGGGGGAGCATGGGGCCCCAAGGGCAGAGGTCCAGGGGAGGCCGTACCTGTGCTCTGCTCCGTGGCCCCCAGACAGCTCAGCCTCCCGCTCACACACGAGCTACGAGAGATGAGGGGGGGCAGTCTGGGCCACTGCCCCCACCCCCCGACCCTGCCTAGACCCTGGCCGGGCCCTGGGCCTTGTCGTGAGGGGAGGGGCGGGCACCTTCTGTGGGGCTGCGATGAGGACCCCCACCCCCAACCCGAAGGCACAGAGTGAACGAGCCGAGGTGCCAGGAAGGCCCCTGGACTCTGGTGAGGGTAGGGTTGGGGTGCGGGAGGGGAGGTGGGGAGGCCGGGGCAGGGGTGCACCCAGGCCAGCCCTCCAGGGCACACACGGTGCCCTCTGTGGGCTCCAGACCTGCAGAACACCTCCCCAGGCCAGAGGAGCGGTCCCTCTCAGAAGGGCTGAGAGGCGGGCAGGGTGAAGGCCCTCCGCAGGGAGCCCCCTGTGTTTCTGTGTGAAGCAGGTGGGGAAGGGTGGTATCAGGGAGCAGCCCCTCACCACACCACGCCGTTGTCATGAACGACCTCCCCCGGAGCCACCACCGTGCCACGCAAGTAGCAGGGACAGGCTTCGGCGGGGACACAGTCACCCGCATCATCCAGGAAGGTGCCCGGCGGGCAGACGCAGCCATCCACAGGCACGAAGGCCACGTCACAGGAGACGTCAGGCTGGCTCAAGGAGCGGCAGGTGGGCTGACAGCTGTCCACCATGTGGGCGTAGCTCTGGGTCTTTGGGCAGCTGCTCGCATACTTGGCTGGGGGTGGGCGGGTGACACGCAGGTCAGCGGCTGGGTGGCCTGTCCCCGCTCACTTTGGGCACGCCCAAACTGGGGCTGGAGTGGCCCAAGGCTTGGCTTCCCCTCTGGTTGGGGGGAGGAGGCCTGAGCTCTCACTGAGGACACGAGGCGGGGGGTGCCCCAGGGTGCCCAGTCCCCCCCACGCCCATCTAGCCGGCTGGCGGACACTCACTGCACACGCCGTCCCGCCAGCCGCTGAGCAGCACGCCCCGGGCGGCACAGGCCCGGACGTAGGAGGACAGGGCCGCGCACATGCAGTCCTCACTCTTCTCACAGTTACAGGTGTCAAACATGCAGTTCTGGGGGGGCATGCACCAGGACGTCAGGGACCCCAGCCCACCAGAGACCCTGCTCTCCATCCATCCTTCCTGGGACCCCCGTCTGGGCCGGAGACACAGGTCGCCCCCAAGCTGGGCATAAGGCCACGGGGCTCGGGGGGAGTGGATGCGCTGCCCTGAGGGATGGGAGAGGCGGGCTGCACACGGGCAGGGTTGGCGGAGGTGCCTGTGCGGGGCCAGGACAGTGTCCAGCTGGGGCTCTGGATCCGTCACGGTGAGCTGCCTATGAGGGGCGTGGTGGGGGGAGACTGCAGGCAGAAGCTGGGGGGAGGGTGGGGGAGGGTGCTGGCAGGCCCACAGCACCCCCAAAGCGGGCCTGGGTCTTCCAGCCGTGGACATGCAGGCCCAGGAGTCAGAGCCATGTGCACATGAGGGCTTTTGCTTCCAAAAAGGTGGCCTGTGAGCCAACTGTCATGGGTGGAGCGGTGTCCCTGGGAAGAATGTGTCCCAGTCAGGCCCCTGGGCCTGTGAACATGGCCCTGTTGGAAACCGGCTCCTTGCAGGTGTGTGGAAGCTCAGATGAGGTCATTAGGGTGGGTCTGAACCAACACGCCTGGTGTCCCCACTAGGAGAGCTTCAGGCACAGACACACAGGTCTGAGTCCTCATGGAGATGAGCAGGGGGTGGTGCCGCCTCATGGCCCCCAGAGGTTGGAGAGGCAGGAAGGTCCTGGGGTCCTGCCAGCTCCGTGATCCAGGACTGGGGTGCGGGGTAGAGGCCTCCAGCTGTCGCCCCTCACCCCCGCACCCAGTCTGCCGTCCTTTGTCACGGCCACCCCAGGCAACACACACACCAGCCGTGGCCATGTCCGTTGAGTGGGCCTGACCCGTGGCCACAGAGATGTGGACCGTCCTGCTCCCGGCACCCCACCCCACCCCGGGTGCTGGCCGGGGGTCTCACCGAGTGGAAGGGCCCAGGGCTGAGGACCGAGTGGCAGGACGAGAAGGGCCCGGCAGGGCTGGTCAGCAGGGAGCACCAGTGCTGGGCGTAGTTCTCTGGGGGAACACGCGGCAGACGGTCATGGGTGCGGCTCAGTGCTCACCGGCCTTCCCCCAACACTGCCTCCCCTGCACCTGCCCACCTGCCGAGCCCCGCTCGTCGCCCCCAGGCCCTGTGGCCAGTGACTCCCCCAGGGACACTGAACTGGGATTACGGGCTCACTGGCTACGCTAAGTGGGCCCTGCATACAGGGCAGTGGGCGCCTTCCCGGGGGTGGGCCCCCAGCCTGCAGGGGACCCTGCATCCCCCTGCCTGGTCACCCCTCAGCCCCAGCCTCACAGCTCCCAGGCCCAGACCCAGGGTAAGCCGAGAGCCCCGGGCTGGGGGTACCATTCTCCACGCTGAGGGAGCAGGGGTCCTCAAAACTGTTCTTGACATTGGGGCAGGAGGCCTGGGTCTTCCAGGTGTTGGCGAAGGCCGCGGCCGTGGCCTCCACCACGCCGCCGACCGTCCGGAAGTCGTCAGCCTGGTTCTGGTTGAAGTTCCCACACAGGCCTGGGGGTGGTGATGGGAGTGTGGGAATCAGGGGGCTGCCCAGTCTGGCCCAGGCTCTCCACACCTGCAGGGACCACAAGGTGACCACACCCAACCAGAGTGCTGGGAGGTAGGTTCCAGCACTATCTGCAGATGACCTCTGATGGAGGGGTGAGGTCAGCCCCCACACGAAGCCCGTCATGAGGGCAGTGTGCCCTGCGCTCCACCCTCCCAGCCACTGTCCTGGGCCAGGGTCCCCGCCATCCCGGGAACAGCTGCCTCCCAGGCCGCGTCCCTGCCCTGACGGCCCATCCGCTCCCAGCCCTCCCACCAGCCTCACCGCACATCTGGCCGCGGTAGGCCGGGTCCAGCCAGAGGAACACCTGCATGATGGGCACCAGCTGCACCTGCAGCTGCAGCCAGCGGCCCATCTGCACCAGGATGAAGAAGGACGACGGCCTGAAGACCGTGACGTCAGCTGCAGGGGTGGGGGGCGGTCAGAGATCAGGGGTGGTGCTGACCAGCCTGAGTCTTGGGTCCCAGGGCCGCATGGCAGGAGCCCTGGCCAGCCCTCCAGGGCCCAGGAGCCAGGCAGGAGCTCGCGTGTGCATGTGACCGTGACCGCTGACCCTCCCGCGGGGCCAGGCACTGAGAGGGTGCTACGCGGGTCCCCACAGAGCCACCATGCGGCGCCCCCCCCCATGCAGGCGATAACCGCAAAGACCTGGGAGGGGCCGGGCCAGCTCTGTGCCGCCACTTGGAGGCCCCGCCAGCCTCACAGGGCTCCCCCAGGGCCACGTACCCACAGACACGGGCAGCTGGGTGTAGATGGAGTTCACGAACACCCCGCCGTTGGCCTGGATCTGGACGGTCTGGCCAGAGGAAGCGGGGCTGTGGTCAGCGAGGGGAGGAGCCAGCCTGGCGCCCCAGGGGGCCCTGCCTGCCCCAACTCCTCCCAGCCCGCTGCCGAGGCCTCACCGTGTCCCCTCCGTTCAAGCTCAGCGTCATGGCTTTGAGGCAGTTCTCGTTGTCCGTCAGGCCGCACTTGCGCAGCTCGGCCAGGATGGCGAGGGCACTGTCTGCACATACCTGACGGGGCAGGACACCTCGTGCTGAGTGGCCAGCCCCCCACCGGGCAGGGAGCCCCGTGCCCGGGAGGCCCCTGCGGGGGTGGGGACCTTGCACGCGGTCACCTCGGGACCACTTGTCTCCGGGCCCCACGAGCGTGAGCTTCTTCTGGGAATGGAACCCCGGGGGCTTCACCGCTCTGACGGCCATCAGGGGACCCTCCCCGGGGCAGCGGGGGGTGCCGAGGGCCCCGGGAGGCCCGGCAGGCGGGGCTCACCTTGGTGAGGACGTAACTGCAGTCCCCGTGTACGTCGTAGAGTTTCTCGTCGTAGGTGGAGATGTGAGACCCGCCCTGGATGGAGCAGGTGCCCGGGCATGGGAGGTCCTGGCACTGCCAAAGTCCCCCGGAGCAGGTGCTGGGGGAAGGGGTAGCAGAGGGGGTGTGGGGAGGGGTGGTGAGCCCCGTCCCGGCGGGGGCAGGGCCGGGGCGGGGCCGGGGCGGGGCGGGGCCGAGGCTGGCCGTGGGGCGGGGCCTGGGCGGGGCCAGGACCTACCAGGAGCTGCAGCTGGTGTTGAAGGAGGCCCCAGGGTCGTAGATGCGCCCGCCGTGGGTGCAAGGGCACTGTCGCAGGGGCAGGCAGCCAGTGTGGGTGACGTCGTCCAGCACTGTGTCTAGGGGGCAGCAGGGGTGGGGCACGAGCTCTCAGCGGGGGCTGGGGGCAGGTGTGAGAGACACTGATGGGAGGCAGACACGGGGCGGAGGCAGAGGCCGTCGGGGGGCCATCCCCGAGGGCCCAGAGCACCTGCCTGGGGGGCAGAAGCAGCCGTCCACGCAGTGGTCCTCGCACAGCTGGGAGCGCTCAGAGTTGGAGCAGGTGTCCACGCAGGGCGAGCCGCACTCCTGGTGCTGAGTGTTCAGGGGGCATGTCTGGGCTGCAGGGGGAGGCAGCGCTTGGCCCAGGAAGCCACCCCTGCCCCCGCCCGCCATGTGCCACCAAGGGTCCAGGAAATGAGGGCTTCTTTCCCGTCTAGCTGTCTTCTGGGTGAGGCGGGAGGGGAGGGGAGCGTGGAGCCCATGCCCCTGGGGACAGCCTCCAGCCCCCACCTGGGTTCAGGGGGAGCCCTGCTCAATGTGCCAGGCCCTCCCTGTGGGCCCCCGGATGCACGGGCCTTGCACCACCCCCTGCTCTCCTGCCATCCTCTCGCTGTGGGCCCCCAAGGGCCTCTGCCTGCACGGGGTCCCCAGGCAGGGGCCAGGCATCCTGCCCAGGGTCGCCTTGCCCCACCCTCCCCAGGGCACTCACGGCAGAGGTCAGGGCCCCTCCTGCCCAGGGTCCCCAGGCAGGGGCCAGGCGTCCTGCCCAGGGTCACCTCCCCCCACCCTCCCCGGGGCACTCACGGCAGAGGTCGGGGCCCCTCCTGCCCAGGGTCCCCAGGCAGGGGCCAGGCGTCCTGCCCGGGGCCACCCCCCACCCTCCCCGGGGCACTCACGGCAGAGGTCGGGGCCCCTCCAGCTCTGCGGCTGTCCCCCCGCGTGGGCGCACTGGCGGGAATACTCAGCGAAGGTGGCACACGGGCAGGAGGGGCAGCGGCACAGGTCCTGGGTGCAGGCGGCCACGTACACCTCGGCGTCCACCAGCCCGTGGCAGGGAGCGAAGGCGGGGCCCAGCAGGGTGCGGCGGCAGATGCCCTCCTGGGAGACAGGATGGAGGCTGTGTCCTCCCTGCGGGCTTATGCGGGGACCCCAGCCCTGCAGCCTCTCCCAGGCCAGGGAGCCCCCTCCCCCGAGGTCCCTTTCAATCAGCCAGCCACCTGTCATCCCTCACTGTCCATCCTCTCATCCGTTCCTCCACCCACCTCTCCTTCCACTGCCCTGTCTGTCCATCCAGGCCTCCATCCAGTCGGCCAGCTGCCCACCTACCCCCCTATCCTTCTCAACCCTGACAGCTTGCCATGCTTGCGGTGGAGTCAGCTTGGGGACCCACGATCCTGGACCTCCCACTCCCACCGGGCTGCAGGACACACCTGCCCGGGAAGGGTGCAGACCCCACCCTGCAGAGAAGGGGTGGCGGAGGGGCCCACCCCCCCCCCCGCCCCTTTGGCAGCCCCAGCAGGGTCAGCACCAACCTGCTAATAACCACCCTCCTTCTTCAGCCCCCACCCCTGACCGGTTTCAGGGCCTCATTTACGGCTGCTGGGTTCCACTGGTTTCGGGGATCCTGGAGCCTCTAGGCCACTTCCAGAGGTGGGATCCGCCCGGCTCATTGGAAGGGCTTTTGCCTGGCTCCCTGAGTGCCCCTCTTGGGGGGTCTGTGTCTGGGGTGGGGCGCAGGCAGGCCCTCACCTCGTCTGTGCAGTTGTCAGCAGCGGGGGAGGGCAGGGGGTCCTGGCACTGCTCCGTGGGCCCGTCTAGCTTCTGCAGGTTCCCAAACTGTAGTGGGCTCAGCCTGGCATCTGCAGAGAGCAGGCCCTCCTTGCAGACCCTGAGGGGCTCTGGGGGCAGAGCTCCCTTCCATGCTCAGGACCTCCGCCGCCCGAAACCTCCCTCTGGGGCATCAGTGGAACTGTTGACACCACTGACTTGACCCCTGCCCAGCGCCCCAGTGAGACCCACCCTTGCACCCCCAGCTACCCGGGGACTGTGCTGGGGTCAGCCACCTACTGCACCTGGACCCGGGGCACTCACTGTGGGCGTAGAACTCACTGACGGCCCGGAGCCCGTTGAAGTCACCGCACAGGCCGCAGGTCTGGTTGGCATACTTGGGGTCCAGCTCCAGCTGGGGGCAGGGGAGGGGCAGCTCCAGTCTCTGCCAGCCCCACCCACCCAGCCCCTGGGGTCGCCCCCGGCGGGAGGGCGTGGGGCACCCTCACCAGGGCGCTGTCCTCTCCGTTCCACACGAAGGTCAGCATCAGCCGGACGTTGATCTTGACGTAGGCGCTGCTCCTCTCCACCAGGAGGCCGGCGCGGCTGTAGGGCAGCTCCACCCTGGGCGAGAGTCCGGTGCTCCCACGCGTCCAGCCCCCACCCCACCAGCCCCGACCCTGTCCAGCTTGGAGCCCGGCCCTCTGTGCCCCAGCCGCGCTCACCGCCACCCGTTGATGAGGACCGAGCCGTTGGAGACCTCCAGCACGAGACCCTGTGATCTGAGCACAATGTGGGTGATGGTGGGTCTGGGGCCCAGCAGGCCGCGGCGGAGCTGCAGGTTGAAGTCCTCGTAGGCGGAGCCGCAGTGCGCAGAGAAGACATAGTTGCACAGCCCCGGGAAGCGGAAGACGTCGCCGTCGAAGGTCTTGTAGTGGAAGTCGCCCCACGTGCTGCACACCCGCCCGCCGTGGGCCGTGTTCAAGGCTGTGGGGAGTGTGCGGTGGTGGGGGGCCGCCTTCCCTGGGGCCAGGCCCCCATGTGGGGTGGGTACCCGCTGCCCCCTTCCTCGCTCTCCTCTGCCCCGGATTCTCGCCCCTGCCCAGCCCTGAGGGCCTTGCCCAAGCACCTGGGCCGGTCCCCAAGAACCGTGCCCAGGGCAGGCCCCCAAGGCCAGCTAGCAGCCCAGCTGCCCGCGTGGTCTCAGCTTTATCCCCAGGTCTGTGACCACCCCAGGGGCTGGCAAACACCCCCACCCCTGTGGGCCACGGGCGGCGTCCACTTACGGCTCATGGTGGGGAAGACAGTGACGGGCGGGATGAAGGTCAGGTGCCGGGCTGTGGAGGGAGCCAGGTCACACCGGGAATGTGGTCGGGCGGGGAGCAGCCACTGTGCCCCCTCCCAGGGCCCTCGCCCTCCTCACTGGCCACCGTGGGGCAGCAGGGGGCCGCAGGCCAGCCTCGCCCAGCCCAGGGAGCCCAGGACGCACGCTGCTCCTCTAGGATGCTCCCCATCTGCCAACGACATGCTCCTGCCTGGGTCTGTGTGTTCCTGCGTGTGTGTGTGTGTGTGTGTGTGAGAGAGCATGTGAGAGCGTGGGTGGGTAAACGCACGCACACGCATGGGTGTGAGTGTGTCTGAGCCTCTCTGCTCAGCGTCTGTTTCCTCAGGCCCCTCCGCTGCCCCTTCCTGTGGGCAGACGGGTCCGGGGGGGTCTCTGTGGCACGAAGCCAATGTGGAAAGGGGACCCCCTGCTGGCCCTGTGCGCGCCCTCCCTGCCGCGCCCACCCTCTGACCAGTCATCTCAGGCCGCTGACTCGTCCCGCTCTGCTGCCCGCCGTCCTGGGTCTCTGCAGGGAAGGGGGGCGGGAGTCCATGAGAAGCTGGCCGCCAGGACCCTGCCCCGGGGTGGTGGGGTCTCCGAGGCTGCAGGCTGGCAGCAATCGGAGGCGCGCCCCATGCCCGGAGCTGACCACCGCCCCCCATCTACACACCTCACTGTGCTGGGGTAGGAGGAATCAGGAAATGGTGTTGGCTCACTGACCCCAGGCCACCCCCAGGGAGCGCGGCTGGCCCCCTCCACACACCCCTCGGAGGACAAAGCCTGGCTTTGTGGGGAGAAGGACACACAGGTTGGGGAGGCTCCCGGGCGTGACTTAGCAGAAACCCAAGACTACAGCCAGCTCCGCCTTCGAGCCCCCAGCCCTGGGCAGGCGGGAGGCCTGGGGGCCCAAGGCCACCCTGTGTCCCCCACCACCGGGGGTGCCCCTCCCGGGTCCAGGTGCCCCCGCCACCTCGGGGGCAAGACTGAGCCCCCTCCAGGCCCCTCTCTGTGAGGCTTGGCTGGGGGCATGCCGCACACACAGGCTCGGAATTCCTTCCTCACGTTGGTAGGGCTCCCCGCCTCCGCCCAGCCTGCCCCGCGTGGGCAGACGGAGGTGAGGCCCGTGGGGCCGCGTGTCCCTGGAGGGGTGCTGCCCGGCTCCGTAGCCGCCGCGCCAGGCTCGGCTCCCCATGCGACCTTCTGGCCGGGACGCTGACCCGGAGGCCGTGGGCACTGGCCCGGGGTTTCTCTCTCCTCAGGGCCCTGTTGACCGCACTTCTCCCTGCCCACCCTGACCCCTGGCCCTGACCCCAGGCCTGTGGCCTCTCCCACATGTGCCCGTTGTTTTACCCAGCCTCTGGTCAAGAAACCAGGGCGTTCACATGACAGGCTCCCACGGCACCCCTTCCGGGGCCATCCAGGGCCAGGTGATCACCGTGAACCTGGCTGGTCCAGAGCTCGGCCAGGGAGATGCCCACCACCAACCACCCCATCTACTGCCATCCGGGCACACATCCCCCGACGGGAAGCCCCTCCACTCAGGGCCAACCTCACCCCCCACCCCACGGGGGCTCAGCCCAGGGGACACCAGTGCGAGGCGATGGATACACGGGATCCAGGCTGACATTTCTGGCAGCCTCCTGTCTGCATCGGAGATGGATTAACAATAGGAACAGGCTTTGTGTCCTGAGGACACTGTGAAACAGTCGTCGCAGGGAGAGAGGGGCCGAGCCCCATCTGACTGAAAGATCAGGGGTCACATATTTCCCACCCTCGGGGCAAGCAAGACATTTGCACATGTGCAGAAAGGCTCCTTGAGGGTGAAAGAGGAGGGGCGCCCCCCACCAAGGGTGATGCAACTCTGTCCCTAGACCTCGACTCAAATCTGTCTTGGAGGAAAGTTGTGCATGCGTGTCAGGAAGGGTTCTGGGGCAGTTAAGGGTGTGGAGAAAGAAACTGCATAATTGGCCAAAGGTGAACAAAGGCCTGGAAGATCTGCCCTCCGTAAATGACCTAACCGCCTCTTTCCCTGGTGGCTCAGACGGTAAAGAACCTGCCTGTAATGCAGGAGACCTGGGTTTGATCCCTGGGTTGGGAAGATCCCCTGGAGAAGGGAGTGGCAACCCGCTCCAGCCTTCTTGCCTGGAGAATCCCACGGACGGAGGGGAGCCTGGCGGGCTGCAGGCCATGGGGTTGCAAAGGGTGGGACACGTGGCTGAGACACCGCCTCGCTTCGGGGCTGCCCACTCCCTTCCCGGGTGGGGGTGTGTGGAGCCTCTGCCTGGCCTCTCTCTTGACTAAACGAACCATTTCTCTGGCTGCTCTCCCACTGTGCTGTCTCTAACAATAAACTCTACTTTCATTTACAGTTTTCGCCTCCTTGAGAAATGCATTTTTCACTGGAGGCAAGGGCTGAGGGGATTTTGCGTCCAGCCTCGAGGCCCTGGTGGACCCGTGGCCAGGATTCCTGCTTCTCTTCCAGGCCACCCAGATCCAGGTCCTCAGGGAACTAAGATCTCCCTGCAGCCTCTCCCATGTCACAGCTGCCATGGTGAGCGTCTCCTTCTGTCAGGAAGGAGCCCCATTCGAGGGACTTGCCCCCAGTAGGAGAAGGGGAGTGGGCTCACGGCAGGCGTGCTGCCCCAGGGCTGAGCAGGGCCACGGCTGGCCAGATAGGCCAGCCAGGCACCCGAACCACACAGCAGATGCCAGGCAGCATCTGGTACCCTCACTAGGAGTCGCCGTGGTTCAGCCCCCAGCCCAGGCCTGCCCGCCCTCCAAGAAAGGCAGCCTCAGAAAGAGGCTCTACCAGACTATCTCCGCACCCTTCACCACCTCCTTTCATCGGTGGAGAGGGCCTCAGGCGGTGCCCACCTGCCCAGACCCCAGAGCCTGGGGCAAGGCCCTGCAGAGGGTCGGCAGGAGTGGCCGTGGGGCCCAGGCCGGCCCTGCTGGGTGTCGCCTCTGGCTGGGGCAGCACCCCTCATGTGGACAGTGAGTGTTAGGGCTCTTGGTGCTTCCCCAGCTCCAGGGCTGGACGGGCGGCTGCAGGTTAGGAGGGCAAGAAAGGCCGCAGGGCGGGTGTGGCTCCAGGAACAGCTGAGGGTCTGATGGGGCTGCCTGGAGGCCACTGCCTGGGCCAGCCCCAAGGGCGGAGTGGGAAATGCAGCCCCCCATGGGCACCTGTGCTGACTCTGCCCGCTCAGCTCTGCCGCGGTGGTGGGGGTGCCTCACAGGGAACAGAGGGACCCCCGGCCTGGGCCCCTCACCCAGCGCCAGCCCCTCCCATCCCCAAAGCCGAGACCCTCGGGTCCCCCTGAGGTCCTAACTTCTCCCAGCTCAGGCTGCCCAGGAGTCCATGACACACAGGGCCCACGGTGGACTCGCTGTCCACTACGGGCCTGCGGAGGCCGCCCCTGCTGTGCAGGGAACGTGAGGGGCTGCACCCTTACCTGCCATGCCCGCCGAGAGCAGGGCCACGAGGGCCCACAGCAGCGCTGGGCACCCGCTCGGGGCACCCATCCTGGGGCTGGCGCGGCAGTGGGAAGGCGGCCAGAGGGAGTGGGACGCGATGCTCACTCCCCTGGGGGCCCTGGGGCTTATGTAGCAGGAGGCCTTGGCCCCGAGCCCGGCTCCCAGGCCACGCAGGGCACCGTCATCCCCAACAACAGCCGCATGTGTTTGCTCTTGGGGAGGGCCGTGGCACGCACAAGCCTGGAAGAGGAAGGATTTGTGGTTCTGGGCCCCAGAGACGCAGGACCCCCCCACTTTTCCCCGCCCTACCCCCCCAGCAGCATCTGAGAGTCAGAAGGAAGGGGGCGGGGCAGGCGGAGCCCCCCTGAAGCATGGTCGCTGTGACCACCCAGGCCCGCTGCTGCCGCGCCCGCTCTCAATAGGGCGGTGGGCAGGGTGAGGGCAGACCCTGGGCCCGGGGCAGCGCTCCCGTGGAGAGGAGGAGACCGTGGGGGCGCTGCTCCCGCGGGTTGTAGGCGGGGGCACTGCAAGGCCGTTGCTCAGCCCCGGAAAGGGCCAGACGTCTGCTCCCCTCAGGAGTGCGGAGGCCATGGGGGGGGGTGGTGCCAGCCCCAGGCTCGCAGGGGTCTCAGAGGCCCCAGCCATGCCAGCAGGACCCGTCCAGGTCTCTGGGCTCCTCTCCATCACCAAGTTCAAATTCAAGGGGAAACTGGCCTTGGGAGTGAGGTGAGGGTCAAACAGAATGCAGGCCAGGAGCCCCCGGCCCTGCCTTGGCCAGGTGCCAATCCCCAGGTGCTGGCCAGGTGTCCATCCTCGGGACCTTGCAGCCCCGTCTGCAGTGGGACAGGGCACCAGCAACAGGCTGAGCAGCGACTCACGTACCCAGGGATGTGCGCTTGGCCCCCAGCAGGGCTGACAGGGCACAGTGGGGCCCAGGGTCTCCAGTCCCCAGAGCCCCCAGATGAGAGCCCGAAGGCCCAGCTCCCCGGGCCAGTGTGGCTGGTGCTGGTGGGGGGCTCAGTGGTGGCCCCCGCCCCGCAGCGCCCTGCTTCCAGCCCCGCCACGCCCCTCTCCCCGGGTCTCCTCCTCCGGCTCTTCCCGCTGCTGGGCTCCCCGCACCTGAGGTGTCTGAGCGCAGAAGGCCTGGGGTGCCTGACCCGCCTGCTGGCGGGGGATTGGTTTCCAGGTTTGCGTGGTGAACACTCAGCACCTGGGACCCACTCCCCTCAGCCACCCCACCTTCGTCTTCCCGATGAGTCCGTAGACGTGGAATTTCTGGGGCAAAGGGAAAACCCCCCTCAAAGCTCTGGGTGTCCTTGGCCAACGTCACCCCACTGCCCCCAGCTTGGCCGAGGGCCCGCAGGCCCCGCTTCTCCTTTTGGCTCCTGGTGTCTCCAGAGAGTCTCCGGCACCAGCAAGAGTTGGGGGGGCCCTCCTGCTGACCTGGGCCCTGGGTCTCAGCGGGAGCTCAGGCTGCCCTCCCACCACCCCTTCCCCATGCTCACTGTCTGGGGCTGCGGCTGGGGCTGCCTGGTCTCCAAAGTGCTCCCGCAGGGACCCAGGGGCCCCGGCAGCAGAGAGCACAGCTGGAGGGGCTTCTGGGGGAGGGCTGGGCGGGGGCCCCACAGGACCAGCCTGGGGGTGCGCTGGGGCCCCCACCACCCCTGTGGCCTCAGGCTGCGGCTGTGCCCCGCCGCCCTGCAAACACGGGGCTCTGCGCCTGGTCCCTTGTGTGTGGGGGGGGCACACTGCGGACCCTTGGAAGGAAGGAAGGAAGCGGGAACCTGGCCCCAGGCCTGAGCCCCCGTGCCCAACCTTCTCCCGCCTCCCCGAAGGCCTGGCTCTCAGTCTGCGCCCCCAAGCCTGAGCCCAGCTAGGCACCGTCAGAGCTAGCACACCCCTCCGGCCGTCCTGTGTGGCCAGAATCCTGCAGCCACTCAGGGCAGCCCCTGGCCCCCACCCCCACCACGTGGGAGCAGCTCAGCGCCTGGGCGCACGAGGTCATTCTCTTCAAGCTTCGAGGTTATCCCCTGCAGCCCCCACCCCGCCCCACCCCGGAAGGAGTGTTCCACGTAGCCGGGCCCTGGCGCATCTGCTCACGGCTGGCACGCAGTAGGCACTCGATAAATGCACCGGAAGAGTGAGCCCGACCTGCCCCGTGCCCCCCCCCCACGTCATCAGCATCCTTGGGCAGGGTCGCCGTGGGCGGGGTCGCGGGATTGAGACATCCCGGATGTAGGCCACAGAGCCCAGCCTGTTTGCTCAGCGAGTTTGCCCCTTCACAGTTGACAGAGCTGAGAACAGAAGAACAAGGAAGCGGGGTGAGCCCTGCCGGGAAGGGGGCCGGGGCCAGGCCTCCCGGGGCTCGGGGAGGCTGCAGGACGTGCCAGAGACCTGGCCTGCCCTGGGCACGCCCTGCCCCACGCTCAGCCCGCGGGCCTCAGGTGGCCCCGATCCCACCCACAGAAGAGACCCCCACAGACTGAGCCCGGAGCCGGCTGCCCTGGCCGGCCCCCTGGCCTTGCCGGAAGCCCCGGGAAGTGGTCGTCACCAAGGCCGGGGCCTTCTCCGCTCAGCCCTGCTGGCCCACCTGCCCTCCACCACAGCAGCGAGAGGCCAGGGCCGTGGGCGCCGGGAGGCATCAAGCCTCAGGCACGTGCTGAGTGCTGGCGCTCTGCCCTGCTCTGCACCGCGCTCCGAGGGTCCGGACGGTGGGGCACAGCCTGGGGGCTCAGATGCCTGGCTGACACTAGGCCTGCTCAGGGCCTGGCCGGCTGTCTGGGGCTGCGGACTCCGCTCCCCAGAGCACCAGGAGTCTGCGGAATGGAAACCCCCGCTTCTCAGACCAGACGGGGTCTGGAAGGCCTAGGTCTATGCCGGGGGAAGCAGGGGAGGGGCAGATCAGGGCCCCCTGGGAGACCCTGTCCCCAGAGCGGCCCCCCTTGGAGGGCTGTGCCCACCCCCTTAGCCCTGCCCAGGGCTGCAGGAGACAGGACGCCCCTCCCATCTTCACACAAACCCCTCTTCTTGCCTGATTCCTCTTCCCTCCCACCCTCCTTCCGGCCTTCCTGTCTGCCTTCTAGCAAATTCTGATGCACCCTGAGGCATACCTCCCTGGGCCCTGGGGATCTGACGCCGCCAAGGAAGAGAGAGGTCCCCTTGGAGCTCACAGCACCCGGGCCATGTAGGGGAGCAGCACAGCGCTCTGTGTGGGGTGGGGAAGCGTGCATTGAGATGAAGGACATGGAGGAGGCAGCCTTCCGCTCAGGAAGCAGCAGATGCAAAGGCCCTGTGGCAGGCATGAACGTGGCCCTTGAAGGGTCTGGAGGCGCCTGGTATGGCTGGGGCACCTGCAAGAGGCGGCAGGACGCGGTGGGCAAGGTCGGATGAGGGGAGGAGTCAGGGCTTCCTGTGAATTTGGGGTACAAGTTACTGGAGCATTTAAAGCGTGGAAACCATAGGGGATCTCGGTTTTTTTTCCATCCATCTATGACATGTTGTTGTTTGCTGTTGCTCAGTCACTAAGTCACGTCCGACTGCTTGCAGCTCCTTGCCCTGCAACATGCCAGGGTTCCCTGTCCTTCACTGTCTCCTGGAGTTTACTCAAACTCATACATAATATAAAATTTGCCATTTTAAGTGGACATTAATTGGCATTAAGTACATTCATGGTGTTGTGTGACCATCATCACCATCATCTCTAGAACACTCTTATCATCCCACAGAAGCTCTGTACCCATTAAACAACTCCCCTCCCCTCCCCCAGGCCCTGGCCTCACCCTACTTCTTGTCTCTGTGGATTTGACTCTTCTAGGTCCTCTTGGTACTGGATTATTTGCTCTACACAAAGTAAGTTTCATCCACGGGGTAGCTTGTGTCAGAATTTCCCCTTTTAAGGCTCAATAATACTCTACTGTATGAATACGCAACACTTTACACATTCATCTCTTGATGGACATTTGGGTTGTTTTCACCTTTTGGCTGTTGTGAATAAGGCCACTACCAACAGGCGGGTGTAAATATAGGAGCCCCTGCCTTCAATTCCTCTGGGTGTGTACCTAGGAATAATAAATCATATTGTCTGTGTTTAACCTTCTGAGGAATCACCAAACGCAGAAGCATTCTACATTCCCAGCAACAGTGCCCAAAGTTTCCAACTTTTCCACATCCTTGCCAACACTTGTTTTTCCTCTTCTTTATTTTTTAAGTATTTATTTGGCTGCACCAGGTCTTTGTTGCAGCATTCGAGATCTTTTTAGCTGCAGCATGCAAACTCAGTTGCAGTATGTGGGATCTGTTTCCCTGGCCAGGGATCAAACCCAGGCCCCCTGCATTGGGAGCATAGCATCTTAGCCCTGGGACCACCAGGGAAGTCCCTACCCCCTCTTCTTTAATAAACAAGATATACTCACTCACTCAGTCATGTCTGACTCTTTGTAGCCCTATGGACTATAATCCACAAGGCTCCTCTGTCCAGGGAATTTTCCAGGCAAGAATACTAGAGCGGGTTGCCATTTCCTCCTCCAGGGGATCTTCCTGACCCAGGGATCGAACTGAGTCTCTTGTGTCTCCTGCATTGTCAGGCAGATTTTTTGCCACCAGTACCACCTGGGAAGCCCTCTTTTTGATAATAGGCCACCCAACATGTATGAAGTGGCCTCTCACCAAGGTCTTGATGTGTGTTTCTGTAATGGCTGTTGAAGTTGAGCATCTCTTCATGTGGATATCTTCTTTGGAGAAATGTCTATTCAAGTCCCTGGCTCAGGTTTTTTTTTTTTTTTTTTTTTAGTTGGGTTGTTTCGTTGTTGTTGTTATTGAGTTCCAGTTCTTAACATTCTGATTCTCCAGTGGACCACGTTTTGTCAGAACTCAGATATACAAATGATACCACTCTAATGGCAGAATGTGAAGAGGAACTAAAGAGCCTCTTGATGTGGTTGAAAGATGAGGGTGAAAAAGCTGACTTGAAACTCAGTATTAAAAAATTAAGATCATGGCATCCAGCCCCATCACTTCATGTCAAATAGAAGGGAAAAATGTAGAAGCGA